TGGCAAGCGCGATGGAGGAGTCGAGGACTACGTTATCGAAGTTGGCAAGCGCGATGCAGTCGAGGATTACGTTATCGAAGTTGGCAAGCGCGATGCAATCGAGGACTACGTTATTGAAGTTTGACAAGCGCCATGCAGGAAATTAAGGTGACTTAGTCTGCCAAGTATGATACCGATATATTGGCAAGTACAGATTTGTCTAGCGTTTGCACAGATTTATACACAAGGTGCAATGAGTGTTGTTGTATTTAGTGTCCGTATCAAGTTATCTAGCACTACAATGATCCGTGATTATGATGTTGTATTAAACCACGTATGTAATATCCATTTGGTTGTTATTTTAACGAGTCGAGCTGAGGCTAGTATCACCAGTAGAGAGTAGTTATTGTTTTTATGTTAGCATTTATGCTTTACAATGGAACACTCAGTCACTATTGTCCATGCATGATTAGAGACTAATATGAGAAACGGATTGGGATAATCCGACCTCCAAAACTCACCTAAAAGAAAGGAACAACAAATCAATCATATACTGCTATTTATTGAAATCAAATTTCTTTCTATGTACACACCGAAATACACCAGTCAATGAATTCCATGCGTCGTCTTGAACCTATTCTCCTCCGCCCATCGAGAAATAGCATCGAAATCACGACAGGTATGCTCATAGCCCCATCCCGTGCTCCCCCTATCATTCGGAGGCGCAGGAAGCCATTCTAGAGTTGTGTCCGCGTTACACATGACTGCCTGTCTCAGATAGTCCCAACAATGCATGAGATGAGCTGCATTAACTTGGTCGAGGTTCCCTTCTCGCGCAGCGTAGTAGCCCTCTCGTGTCATATACTACGGATAATTACCATTGACCTGTCTCGCTTGACAACTGGTGTTAAAGAAGATACTTACAATACAATGAAGCTGATGAAATACGGAAATCATTGCACGTTGCTGAGGGAGAGATTGATCCAGGCCAGGCTGATCGGGAAGTGCAGTGTCATTGTTGATATTCACAAAGCCTCGTCCAACTAGAGGTATATTAGCACGCGATTCCATGATCGACTTAGGAAGGAAAGAAATTCACCGGGCATCAACTCGTCCCAAGCCTTTTCTGCCTCTGGATTGAGAGGTTCTCCGTACAATGTCTGGAAAACGAAAACCTTTCGAGTTGCGGCTGACAAGTAGAAAATGTAACATCAATAATCGCTCACACCTATCTAGATAAGACCAATACAAAACGAACCTGTCTTCGGCGGTAACCAAGGAACCTCCCTTTCCGTACGGTGCGCCTGTCGGAAGTAATGGATGAAGCTTCCCAGCAACACTATATTCAACAATAAGAGCACCGCAATGATACACCAAACAAATCTTGAAGGGGGTTGTTTCCAGTTTTGTCTCGAATACGACTGATTCTCTAACAATGCTTCTTTCTCTTCCTCTGCGATTGTTGATTCTTCGGAGTTGCGCACAGGTACTTCTTTGTACCCTTTGGACGAATGCTCTGCCATTTTCATTTCTCCGGACTGGAAGAACAAGGGGAAAAAGAATCAAGGGATATTAATTAAATCACCGATCAGCTTGTGTACAGACTCTCGATATTGTTAGTTTGCTTTTGTACATGCCAGGCATTTATGATCTGATGCCTCCCGGTGGTGGGATGGATGTAGGCGCGGGATTAATTGGCTATCGCAGCGGCGCCTGCGCCAAAGGGCCCACACCCCGTTTTATATCAATATGGTGTTCAGTCGCTGAACGTCGCGTGTGTCTAGAACCAACTGATTCCCACTCCTTCTGATATATCTGTGAAAGAGTGTGGTGTCAAATATGAGACTCAGCTGGTATAGCGTACTCATTTTCAGCCAGCTTATTTCATCGACTATTGTTTACGCCTCGGGCCCCTGCGCCGAAATCGACAACTATGTAATATGGGGGGAGAAACAAGGTATATAAGAATTGGTTCAATACGACTGAGTTTCTTATGTATTAATTGTCATATGGTAGGGAGAAAGAAAATCTTTGGGATCCCCGGTGATCTGGCGTATGATTGTCTGCGGTCGATGCCGTTTCGCTCAGACCTGGCCGTGAAGTTCGTAGACGACTATGCCAAATACCTGCAATTTCATAGCACGGCATCTATGCTGAAAGGTAGCTTGAACCACGCCAAGTATTTCTCTTGTAGAGCTAAGCTAACAATAACCAGATCCTCCAAGCAGCTATATCTCGACCGGGGTTGATTTATGGGGAGGGTTGCAGAGAATCCGACAAAAGGCCAGCGACAATATTTACGGGGAGTCAATACGATTTTGATTCTGATCTCAAATACCTGACCTCGCGTGCTAACGATGGCCATCTCCATGTTGGGCTTTGTTCTCTGGAAATTATGCATTTTGAGCATGGCGTGCCTCTAGTTTCGATTTCACCGGATGGGATCCAACTTCCACGGATATATACGTACTGTAAGCTTTTTGAGGTTCCGGTTGTAGCTTGATGTATGTGCGGATGGCTGAGTAAAGAATACGATAAAGATGATGCCGAGATGAAGCTTCGCGGGACGGAGGCCGCGATTTCATCTGTTTACCGTATTCAAGACATGGATCCGGTTTACTATCTACAGGCTAACATCGGTGTAACTATGGGTCTTCATGATCCTGATGCTCGGTATTCCCAATAAGCGATGATTGAGAAGAAAATTACTAATGTATAATTTAGATACAACCATCTCTTCCCCTCACCTGCTGCAGCATTTTCAGGAATGTACACAGGAGGGCTGTGGACCAACAATCTGGGTTCTTGGCCTGGGAAGACCAACCAAACTATCGAATTCAGCAATGGGACCAGATTAAGAGTGGAAACAACTGCATCGTTGGCGTTAGATCGTAGGTTGAATTTTTCCAGTGGGCAATCGCTCTTTCAAACTGCTTGCCTGCTGAATCAAGAGGCTCGCGCTCCCGATCCCCACCCAGCACTCGCGGTAGGAAAACCGCCATACTCGATTCCAGAAGGCGGATCATCGATGTATCCGAAGCCAATTGTAAATCACAAGAAGGACCTCGTAAGAGGCTACTATTTGAATGAGGAAAGGCTTGGCAATGTTGCAGTATTGCAGCTCCCAACGTTCAGACTCAACGGAGAGAGTCCTGCATCGTTGGGCCAAACCGCCGTGCAGTTCATTGAATGCGCCAAAAGGGATGGGAAAGAGAAGCTCATCATTGACCTATCGAACAATATGGGGGGCGACATCAACCTGGGTTTTAATCTGTTCCGAATCCTTTTCCCAAACAAACCAATCTACACAGCCACTCGGTTCCCTTCGACAAGACTGATTGACCTGATGGGTCGGATTTTCTCGTCTTCCCAGGGGCAGGAAGTGAACAATGAGAGCACGCTGGACTTACCTTTGATTTTCCAGAATGCGGTTACACCAGACCATCGACACTCATTCGGCAGCTGGGAGAAGTTGTTCGGTCCAGTCGAAATCGCAAATCAAAACATGTCCAGCCTGCATGCCACGTATAACTTCACAACTGCATCTACCGAGGACGATCCAATCAGTGGATATGGGGGCATTGTCTTTGGACCTTCTACTCAGCCGTTCCCCGCCGAGAACATAATCATCGTATGTCTTCCATTGAATACGCATAACACCGGTACTAATACCAACAGATGACAAACGGCATCTGTGCATCCACCTGTACGATTCTGGCACGATTACTGCAGAAATATGGCGTAAGAAGTATAGTCTTTGGAGGCCGTCCAAGAGCAGCCCCGATGCAGCTGCTTGGAGGCAGTAAGGGCGGCCAATATTGGTCGTTAGCAACAGTAAGCCACTACATCAGAAAAGCGCAGGAGATCGCGGTGAACGCAAGCAGCGCTGGCTCTCCCATTCTTTCTGCAGATGAATTGGCTTGGTTTATACAGATGGCACCTCCCCCGCTCACAGAATTCCCGTTTCGGATTGATAGCCGTGGAGGGAGTGGGGTGAATCTTCGCAATGAATACGACGAGGATGACCCAAACACCCCGTTGCAATTTTTCTACGAGGCGGCTGACTGTCGGCTGTTTTGGACGGCAGAGAATTATGTCGTTCCCCACAGCTCATGGGTTGCCGCAGCAGATGCGATGTTCGGAGATGCTTCATGTGTGGAAGAGACAGCTGGGCATCATCCTAGTGTATGAGCCTTTAATATGGAATAAATACATTTATTGGATTTACTACTACTAAATACTGCCCATAACACGCCCCTTGTCTAAAGTGTCCATTGCTTCCACGCTAAGGATGCTTTGTATCCACAAGCCGCTGACTATCCGCCCAAGCCATGATCCCATCGAAATCCTTACAGACATGCACTGCACCTGTTCCATCCGTCCCTGGTTTATCCGTCCTTGGATCCTGTCCTTCCAACGCAGTATCCCCACAGCAGAGCAGTGACTGGCGCAGATACTGGAAACAATGGTCGATGTGGTTATGCGTGTGGATATGAACCTCTTCATGAGGGTGATCGTTGGAGCGTGTGTCGTCTCATGAATGGTGCGCGTTCAACTCTGCTCCTGATTTGCTTGCTGCCAATTCATCGTAGACGGACATGATTGAGTACTTAATTGTAGATTAGAGAACTGGGATACTATATAAAGTGATAACTTTCATGGATCGAGATGGCATACCAGGCAGTGTAATTGGTGGAATACTGCAATCGAATAGGTGACTTGACCTAGTTGCTTGATGGGGGGAGGCAGGGTGTATCGCTCAGTCCCATTGACTGCGATGAAGCCATTTCCTCCTGTCGGTTTCGTTAGATGGATTGACCCAAACACTTGCGTTCCAAATCTTACGGGGCATATATGACAACCAGTTGTTCCTCGTAGCATTCATAGATTCCTCTGTCTTGTGATCCGAGGCAGCTAACGGAGCAGAGCGGAAAATAACCCTCCGAGCAGGAACTATATCAATTCCCATTAAGGATTAACATCGAAGATTCCACGGATACATATACACCAAAGGCGCGAATCAACTCACAGTCTCCAACCAATCCATTTAGCTCACCCAACAACGGCTCTGGCATTTTCCTAGTGGCATGGGCGAAAAAAATGCCCAGGAACAGGATTTCGATGAACCCAACAAAGGCAAGTGAGGTGTATATGATCGGACGCAGACAATCCCATCGTTTCGGTCTGTTCTTCTTCTCGACAAAGTGTTTGGGGTCGAGGAGGTATTCGTCGGATTCTCGTCGTGAGTAGAGATCGGACGACATGGTGGTTAGGTCTGGCTAATCGGATTGGGGAAGAATTGACTACATGAAATGGGTTATTATTCTACTCTATATCGCATTCAGACAAATGTAAAGCTATCTCGTTGATTTCTGTTAATTTGGCGCGGGGGCTGCGCCAAATCCAGGCGTCAATTATGGTACATTCATATGTACAAAAATGTACAAGAAAGAGGGACTAGCGTTCTACTGTCTAATGGTGACCGCTTGCCGATCAGAGAGAGAAAGAAACCCGTGGAGAAAAAAAAAAAAAAAAAGAAAAGAAAAGAAAAGAAAAAAGAAAGTATTGACATTGGGATACTTCTTCAATGTGTTCATATTGATATGAGAGATGCAAAGATGATCACTCACTCTGTTTACCCCTCTTACGTTGTCCGGCGGATCAACTCTCGACCGATGGGCAGGTCCCGGCGCCGATCCGTTTAATGGCAAACATGCTGAGAGAACATAATCCAGGATACCTGGCGAGACACTATTGCGTGCAGGCCTAATGTTCTGAAACAACGGCTTGTGGACGATTGGATCCAGGGTCTGGCAGCGTTTGTCTGGAATAAAACAGGCTATGCCTGCAGAACCAGGAGTTTTGAGGAATCGGAGGTCATACAGTAATCAAGAAGCCATGAGGTTCGTAAAGATCATGCCTCGCTGAAGCTTCTCATGGCGATGAGGAATTTATGCGGCTTAGCTTAGGTCCCGAGTAAGTCTCGGGGCACCTAGCAGTTGACACTGGCTAACTGATCAGCCTATATATAAGTACCGGAATAATCCGGAACAGCAAGAAACGCTGATAGATACACAACATCAATTTTGTACTGTAACTTTCCTCTTCCACCGTGAAAACAGCGTGGATCTTGTTCTCTCGATAGATCTATATTAAGTGGGTCACATCGAAGTCTTGCCCTATGCAGATGATATTTTAACTAGTGCGAAATTGCTAAGGTAATCATATTACTTAAAACTGGTTGTTTTTGTGCTGAATCAAACATGATGCTTTCGAGAAGATTCTCTGTTGGTTGCATGATGATCCACAGGAAGTTCCCAGAGCCAAGAATTTTCTATCTGTGGGTCGAAAATAATATGCTAAGATCATATATCTAAGAGAGTAAGTCTTGTGGCTAGCTGAGACGATCTGCCCCTAGAGTGAACGCAAGGACCGGGCCCATGGTGGACTGCAGGAGAGTTCAATAGTCTGATTCCTCCTTATGATCGGCGTACTTTTGCATCCAATGCCCTAGTTTGTGGAACCTCAGGGGCTGAAGTTGGCCTCCGGCTCTCCCATGGGCCCATTTTTTTATGTTGTGTGCCAAAGTGATTAACTATTAGTACTTACTTAGGGTCTGCTTTTAGAACCTCAAACCCCACCCAATTTTGGTCCTAGTCTGGGTAGTTTATCCGCCACGCTTTCCACATCCTCATCACTTGCATACAAGTCAATTAACGGTGCGAGATGCATTGTGGGAATAGACATACCCTCTTGCACTAACACAGATAACAACATCTTGGTCTTTCTTCATTGTCTTGGCCAGCTCAACAGTGCCCCAAACAGCATGAGCAGTCCCTAGAGCGGGAATAATCCCCTCCATCTCAGTGAGCAGTTTGAACCCCTCGAAAGCTTGATTATCGGTAACGGCAATAAATGTTGCACGTCCTGAGTCTTTCCAAAAACTCAGCTCTGGTCTGTTCAGAAGGTTAGTGAGACAGAAATGTCTAATCAAATTTGTAATATCATTGATCACGTCACACATCAGGGAAATATGCAGACTCTACTTACCCAACCCCAGCATAGCCCAGACCAGCTGAGATGGAATGGGTATCTTGTATCTGTCCGTGCTGATCCTGCAACACATATGTCCTACTCCCATGTAAGACCCCCTTAGTGCCGCCAGTTAGAGTAGCGGCATGTCTCTTCGTCTCAAGGCCGTCACCCCCTGCTTCGACTCCCAGAAGCTTCACACTTGGATCATTAATAAACGGATAAAACATTCCTAAACAATTACTGCCCCCACCGATGCAGGCAACAACCGCATCCGGTAGTTTATTTCGTTGTTCCAGCATTTGTGTCTTCATCTCATCTCCAATGACAGTCTGGAAAGTGCGCGCGATCGTAGGAAAGGGGTGTGGGCCAATAGCTGAACCGAGAATGAGATATGCAGTGTCCACCTTCGTAATGAAAAACTCGAAAGCTTTCGTCAACGGAGTCTCTAAGGGTTTTTGAGCCTGCCTCGACAGGGATGACATCAGCACCAAGTAATTTGATCGTGGATACATTCAGTGCCTGTCTCCTGATATCTTCCTATAAAGCTGTTAGCTACAAACATGTGACACTGTTTCCAACCTGTGGACTTACCGCTCCCATGAAGACCGTGCACTTCATGTTGAATTTAGCACAGACTGTGGCAGTTGCTACGCCATGCATGCCAGCACCGGTCTGAGTAATGATTTCAGTCTTACCCAAACGACGAGCCAGAAGAACCTGTCCCAGAGCATTGTTGATCTTATGACTTCCAGTATGGTTCAGATCCTCACGCTTCAGCCAAATAGTGGCTCCGCCAACCTGTTCAGTAAGGCGACCCGCGACATGAAGATGCCCAGGCCTTCCTAGGTAATGGTAGTATGATCGGAATTCTGCCCAAAACTCGGGGTCGTTCCGAAATTCTTCAAAACCTGCCTCCAGTTCTGAAAGGCAACTCATTAGTGATTCTGGGGAATACGAACCCCCAAATTCACCAAATGCTGCAGGAAAGAGTTTTGGACTTTCTCCCTCGGACTTGATTGCCTCTTGTTCATCAAGCAGTCCTGACTGGTTGCCCTTTGAATGTTTGGTACCATTCACATGTACGGGAGTATTAGACTCTTGAGCTTCATTCGATACCTCAATAATACCAACACCTCGAGTCGTTCGACATTCTAGTGAATTACTCCTCCCACATATCCCAGCGCAGTATTCCTCCGCAGCTTTGGCCCGACCTCCAGGAGCCGCCTCGGCCAAGGTTGTGATAATTCGACTGCCGATGACAACGCCATCTGCTATGCTGGCTACACTCAAGAAGTGATCTCTTGTGCTGACACCGAAACCAACTGCTATTGGGATATTGCCAGAGTATTGCTTTATTCGTTTCAATAGCTGAGGTAGATCGGCATTAAGAGTACTTGTTGCACCCGTGACGCCCATACGCGATACGACGTAGACGAAAGAGTCCGCAACTTTGCAGAGAAATTTGAGTCGGTTTTCGGAAGTGGCTGGAATAAAGTGTTAGAAGCTAAACAGGTCGGACAAATAATGTGAGAGGAGCGTACAAGGAGCGATAAGAGGTACGTACGACAATCTGTATACAATTTGTCAGAGAGGATAATTTATCGTGAAAGTATCATGACTCACCCTCCCTTCGCACAAAGGTTTCTGAATTTCATAGCCTCGTGCGGAGGGAGATCTACCACAATGAAGCCATTTACACCAGTCGCACGACAACCATTCATCAATTGCTCCTCGCCATAGCTCAGCAATGGGTTGTAATAACCCATTAATAGCACCGGTGCTCGGAGACCCCTTTGCCGAGCTTCTTTTACCATCCCTAGGGTGGACTCTATCGTGACATTATTCGCAAGCGCTTGCTATACATATGATTAGCGAATACACATATAACGTTGAGAATCAGCGAACAGTATTTGCGGTCTGAATCGTAGGCCCATCCGCAAAGGGATCCGTGAAAGGCTGGCGTTGACGTTAGGAAGGTCGGTGGGTATCAGAAAGCACTTAGGACTACTAACAACACCAAGTTCAATAATATCTGCAAAAAGAAGGTTAACGAGATACTGGCTAATTGAATCGGCAAAAATGTATTGCATACCTGCGCCCCCAGCTTCCATTCCCAATATGATATCTACTGCCTCTTCAACTGTAGGGAATCCAGCTGTAACAAAAGTCACAAATGTAGGCTATATTATAAGTCAGCAATGCCTTCCCGAACCTCATATAAATACATATAGCTTCCGCCACCAAACGAATATATACCCGATTTTCTTCTTTGCATTGCGCAAATGTTTTCTTGATACCCTCCATATTGAAAGGAATGCATATTCTCTATTGACGAATTCATTGATTTGGAGACTACTCAAAGGGTCGGAGCCAGCTGTTGTGAAACATACTTTATATCGATGGTGGCCATGATCAACTAGAGTCCCTATCAAGTAAATAAGGTTACGGAGGTGTATTTTAAAACCGGTTACTGAACAGGTAAGCCTGTTATAAGGGGGCCATTTGGCCAAGAATTACAAAAAGACCCATTTGTTCGATTACTTTTGGAACATGCCTCCGTATCTCTTTCATGAAGTGACTCTGAGAAACGATGAAGCGGCCGAGAGCAGAGGTATCAAGGAAAGATTTGCCAGTGAGTATAATATAAGGGGTTATCTCATTGAAAGACGAGCAGAACCTGAGTACATATCTAGGAGATCCAGACAAGTACTAGAAAACCCTTACAACAGGTGTGGGATAGCGTAGTCTACAGATAAACCATTACCCTCCATATATATATCTCGTGCAACCTCATAAGGTGCAGATCAACTCATCACGCTTTCACTCTGGTAAACACTAGCAGATGCTCCAAACCCAACACTATTAGTCTGACACCGTGATCACTGTATATAAATATAAAACAAATGAAACCGGGATCAAGAATATCAACAATAACTCCGGTACTTTACTCCGGCATAACAGGCGATGACTAAGCAAGGCTGTTCGTCACGAGTTTTGAGGGATCGTCGCTCTAAGACATGACATACTCTTTCCAGTATCATTCGATTTGGTGATCGAGCCCAGCGAAATGTCTTAGCTACATTAGCGCAGAGCATTTATATTGATGTCTGATCCGAAGAATGGTGCGACAACAGCCCGACAGGGACACTGCGAGCCAGCAGCGACAACAACCTCGCGACCACCGGGAGCATGATGATGGAGCTTCCGACAGCCACGAGGGCTTGCCAAGTGAACCTGCTCCAAAGCGCCACAAACGAGGAAAATACGTGTCAAAAGCTTGGTACGGAACCAGAAAATAATACGTTACAGCCACGTCGCTGACACCACACGCCTGTTTTCCAGTGGCCAATGCCAAAGGAGAAAAATCAAAGTGAGAAAGCCAAGATTTACTGTTTGTGATCTGTCTCTAAGACCGTGGGTTAATTCTAGTGTGATGGGTGCATCCCCTGTCGACCATGTGTTCTCAATGGCCGAGATTGCCTGATGCAGACAGTCGACATGCGGCGCCGAAGAACAACTGGGCTGACGGAATCTGGAGTTCCCGACAGGGAGCTGGCCAATACGGACGCTGGCTCTCATGGTCAGGGCGATCAGTATGAGCATTCATCATAATATTGCGCCCGCTTGAAAGAGTTAAGCTAACGATGGGATCAGACTAACTGCGAGAGACCTTGCGTCTCGACTTAGTCGGATTGAGCATCAACTGAGCCTAGTCTTGGAATCAGTAGGCCGCGACAAAGAAAGCCCAGTTGACAAAGAACCAGTAAGCGATGAATCAACCAACCTGCGAGAAACTACCGTACGGCGGGCCATCAATTCCGATGCCTCAGATGCTGTTAGATCACAGGTACCAGCTTTCTCTGGTGAATCTTCTATTAACCACACCCTGGATCAAATTGAGGGCTACCTGGAGCGTACGGATGTCAGGTATGGTCATGCAGAGCGTCTTATGTCCTGTCAGGCGTCATGCACATCTTTGACTGCGCCAAGCTCCCCGTTAGGTGGCTCTAGAGAGACGGGTGAGGCAGTCGATATACGAAGGATCTTGAATACATATGGCATCCATCCACGCAAGGAAGAATGGGATGGGTACATGCACACGTTCTGCGATGAGGTTCACATTTTGTACCCCTTCCTTCACATTCCAAGTCTATGGGCCAATTACGCAAACATGTGGAATTCTGGGTTTTCATCCACGGAGCATGAGTTTCAAAGAAGCAAGGATTACCGGATGATGGTCGCTCAGGTATGGGTTTGTATCGCACTCGGAAGATGTACCGAATCACCTCGAATAAGCAGCCAGGAGGGAAAGCACTCTGCTGGATGGAGTATCTTTGAGGCCGCAACGGACCTTATTGTAGATCTTGTAGGCTGCTTCCGGGCATGTTCGAGACCTACGATTACCTTGCAAACTTACGCGTTAATGGTACATGATCTGTCTTCAGAATAGCATATCACACAAGATGCTAACGTACTTACGATTATCTCAGGTCGTATACCTTTTTCGACTCGACGCTAATGAGAGAGCGGAGAAATTCTTAGCGCTTGCCATCTCGCATGCACACCACCTAGGCTTTCATCGGTCCAAGGTCGTCCGACGTATGCCAGTTTTCAACGATGAGATGATTCGGCGACTTTGGTGGTCTCTTTATGCGCTTGATCGCCGACTAGCAATTGAGACCGGCCACCCATTCTTAATACAAGATGTCAATGTCGATGCTCCTCATCCCCAGAATCTAGACGATGAATGGCTCACCAGACACAAGGAAAGCCGCAAGACAGGCAATGAGCTAGAATATGACATCAAAGCAGCACTTTCGAACGATCCTACCACACCAATACCATATTTATCTGCGACCATTCGCTACTCACGGGTTGTGGGGAAAATATGGGAGGCAATCTACGGCGCTAATATGACAGACGTCATCCCCAGCTCAAGTCTACTGGAATACCTAGACCAACTTATATCCCGCGCCCAAGTGGAAGTACGACCAGAGTTCTCTGATAGCCACCAATCCGAGCCTCCCAACCTTGAGCGAAGCAACCCACTTCGATGGCTCACCAAGCAACAAATGCTAATGCGAATCGTAAGGGATCACTCCGTCTTACTTCCATTACTTCCCATATTCCATACCCTCGTTGCTAACATATCCAGCGATGGCTCTCCCTCCGCCTCCTCATCCGCAAACCAATCCTCCAACAACGAGCTTCACCCCAAGAATCTATCGCCGACATCCTCGAAACGGAAGTCACCTGCATCCGAATCGCCTGCAATATTATTCAGGAATTCAAACAAATCCCCCAATACACGGCGTCTGCATTCCCCTTCCTCCACTCACTAGTCGGCGCCACAGTCGTCACCCTAGGCTTGATCATTCGAGAGCCCTCTTTCAAGGCAATATACGGCAACATAACACTCCACGCCGCAATCTCACTCGAGAACTACTGTCGCAAGACGTGGGTCTCAGGAAAAATGATCCGAACAATCCGCAGGCTAAATCAAATCACATCGTCCGTTCTGTCTGATTCCAGAAATAGAGCGTCGAGTCGTTCCGCGCTACAGCCATCGTCCCAGAGCCATACCACAGATACCAACACTGTCCCTCAGGCCACGTCAACCACCACCTGGGCATCATCCATGACCCTTCCTCTTGAAAATCCTACAAGTCACACATCCACTCTTCATGGTAGTTATATTCCAATCTCAGCACTGACGAATCAAAACACAACTTCCCTTACCACGACTCTTATCCATGCTTCACATTCGATAGCCCAGTCAACACAGCTTCAGCATACCTCCGAAGCATGGACCGTTACACCAATGAACCTCGTGACCACGGACTTTGACTTCGAGCAGAGCCTTACTAGTGACCTTATACCGGATGGTCATGTCTATGGATGGATGACCGGAACACCACCAAGTGAGATGCAGCAGGATGGAACTGCATATATGGAGATGGGATGGTTGGAGTCTTTGTTTGGGACTGATCTAGGGTCTAACTTTATGTTACCACCTGAGGGTTAGTTTAGGTCCTCCTTTCTCAAGTGCGAGGTTTGGTTTGTGTATAGTACCTGGAGCACATGTGTGCTTAGGTGTTGTTGGATAGATATTAATTTATGGGGATGACTACCTGTTCGAATTCAGGTAGATACAGGCCATAAACATGTAGTCGTTTTCAATTGTAGCAAGTCGTTTTGCTATACCATAATATCTTTGATTCATAGATGGTATATTTCTTAAATTCGTTGCCGAAGCCGTGAGATTGCTTGTATTGGTTTGTATATAGATACTCCATCATTTGCTTGGCCGTGCCCTACTTATGTACCAGTTAGAATAGATGGGTTCAATTAAGTCGCTTTATTCTTTTCAAATCAGTTCCATCTTGTCTTGCCTTTCTGTTTATCTTATTCTATTCTTTTGGTCGCGCACAGCCTTTGTATGGGGTCCCGGTATTAGGTTCCACACCAAGCTTTGGAGTTATTATTATAAAGACGCATTTCAAACTGATGTAGAGGGATATATAGATACAATTTGGTCAACGAAAGTGCAGTCATCGTCTACAGAGCCCTTCTCTTAATTAAACAAACGTATGTTTCTAAGTTCTATCCTGCAAGTCAAGTCAAGTCACAATAGCTGCACTTCTTCCAAACTCTATATCTAACATACCGTGCACAAATGTACTATTTAACGCTTATCGATACTCTCACGATGCCTCTAGAGAACAGTGTGGCTAGGCAATATGCCCGCATTCTCAAAAGACCGATAGGTCTCAATCCAAGTCTCGAAGGTATCATCCGTTCGCTGCCAACCATATATCCTCGCCTTGTTAACGGACGAGATTGTACACCAAGACTTGCCGGTTGCCCAGTTGAAGAAGCCCCAGGTGCCCCAGTCGAAAGCTTCGACCTTGCCTCCATATTTCTTCACCACGGCTTCCCAGATAGGACGCTTGTCCTTCGCCCACTCTACCATGTCGATTTCATTGTTAAGAGTATCTGTTTGGCCGGAGGCCTTATGAAACTGAGGCTCGGGGGCCTAGGCTGAGGCTGTTAGCTAACTATTAGGTCTTTTCTCTGTATACGAGATAACATACCTCAACATTGAAGTATTTGGCAACATCTTGCCACAGATATTTCCACACGAAGACATCTCCGTTGCAATGAAGGAAGTCCTCATTCTTGCAGTGGTCCTTTGTCGTAGCGTGAATCGTCAAATCAGCCAAGCTAGGTGCGTAGGAATTGTCGTCTATGGAGTTCCAGAAATACTCGTTGCCTGGGAACTGAGCGGGCTGGCCGAGCTCACGGCAGATCAACATGTAGATTGCCACAGTCAAGGCTTCGGACATTCCGTTTGCTGTGGAATACCGAAGTTTTGTTAGCCCATTGAATGAGTACACAAATACTGCCAGATGGACCAACCGTGGGGAGCAAATCCATTGATTGCGTTCGGGCGGATAACGTTCCAGGACCACGTGTTTCGTCTCTTCTGCACCTCCTTCAGGTAATCTTCCTGGACGTAATAGAAGTTGTAGCCCTTGTCGTCGTATCTCGGCATGTCCTCAGAAAGAGGGAACTTGACGGGTCCAAGGTGAACACCATAGTACTAGAGTTTTCTTAGTGAAAGTTCACACCCAAAATGAAGTAGCTCAATAAAGCCTCGAACTAGGGAAGATTAACCTTTCCACCAGTTTGAAGGCAAACCCGCTCCAAATTCGGACAGACTTCATCCACCGCATCCATAAAGTTCTTGAACAAAGGTACGTTCTTCTCTTTCAGGACCTTAAAGTCGTCATGGTGCACGTACGAGGTAAAGTATGTATGAGTAACTGGCGCGCAGATGTTCCTCAACTTTGCGACGATCTTGTCTACCGGTTCGAGGAAGTCCACGGCCATAAATTCCACGCGAGGGTCCGGCCAGAAATAGGCCAGAGGGCGTCTGGAGGTCACAATAATCTTCGACCTATATCGAGTTGCTTAGAACAAGAGGCCCTTCACCCATGTAATCGAATGCCGTTTGAACATACCACTCGGTCTTGGGCTGCCGAACCAAGTGCTCGATGATTGCGAAACCACTGATGCCATTGGCACCTGCGACGAAGGCGACCTTGCCAGGTAGAGGACTCATGACGAACCTTCTCCTCTGTGAAAATAATTGAGGTTGTTAGATAGAGGAAATCAAAGAGGAGAGCCTTCCAGCTCTTTATAGATGGGTTGTCTCATCAATAGAGCAGCACATATCGTGGATGATAACCCCATTCGGCATCCCGCTGAAACTAGACGGGTCAAGTATCGGAACTTCCCTGCGAAACTGGCCGCTTTTGCCGATGTGCGTATGGGTCCCTGGTGTCGCAGAATGCGATAGATTGCACAAAGAACATTGCATGACTCTTGTTCGGAGATAATGGTGGTAATTCTCTGCCGTTCTGACATGCCCGCCTGTATTTCTGCACCACTGATGGGCGGCGATATAATTGATCTGCAACACTAGAAAGTTACCAAATATTAAAGGCTGTGGTCTGACGAGTACTTGAGGAGTTCAGGTGTTGCGGGTAACCCCAAAGAGGAAGGTGTGCTTCACGTTCGGTGTTCGGAGACGGAATTATTCCAATATTTCCGCTGCATTTCCGTGCCAAGTTCATCATGCATTTGGGGTGTCTGGGTCATGTGTCAAAAAGTGTGCAACTGTGAAATGTGTAGTTTCTGATCGAAATTAGTAATTACTAAAGTTAGTATCTAACAGTTCTCTAGTAAGACAGCTATATTGGTTTTGTACCTACTTGAATGGGGTTCCTCATTCTATGTTCCAATTAATCTGCTACGGTTGTGCGCGCTGTTTGTTACTATGGGGCTTCTTTGGACTGCTTGTTGCTTATACAAAGTATTTAAACCGGCGTTACCGTAAAAAACATTTAGTCTTTCTAAAGATGTAAGTTAGTTAGCCCACAAGATATTACAACTGCCAAGCTTATTATATATATTCTTAAATGAATTATCACCCGTCCATCGGCAATTACCCTTATTGCTATTCACTATATCTAACTTCAGCCTCCGCCCATCGCTCTCGAGCGTATCTTCTTGAATTACATATTCCTGGTTGCTTGGTGGCCACTCAAATCCAGCGGCCGCAGAGCAAAAAAATCCTTCAAGTTTCCCACAATTAAGGTGCCGGCCTCCGGGGCGGGTTTGTTTGAAGACAGCTCTGTGAAGGTCGCAATGAGGGGATCATGCGATGTATTTCGTTAAAGATCGTTTAAGTGGAAGGTGGCGTTGTACTTCAACGCTCTCTAGAGAAGATAAAGCGGGAGAACGAAGAAAGGTACCTTTACTCTGTACTGCCTAAGTATTCCCACTGCCCGTGACTGTACTCCTACCCTTCCAGAAATGGTCTAGCGCCTTCACAGTGATCTAAGTTCTGTTTCTCTTCTAAACCATCTAACGTCCTATTCCAACGCCTAGCTTACCATAAGCGAATTATTATCTCATGATTCTTACTTCCAACTGTCATGTCATTCCAAAACTTCCATATATTGTTTTGATTTAATGTCCGCTTGACTTGCTTCGCGGCTCACTTTTCACACTCAGCTCATGCTACTACTAGATACATGCAGCCTACCTTATCTGCTACCGGTACTCCTATCAACAGTTGGTGGTTCTTGAAATCCACCCCCTTCTCATTGTTTTTGGTTTTCCTTTTGACGTCGGCAAACCCTCACGTGGTGCTTGGTGCCTGCTGTAAACAACTTGCAACTGTTACCTCATTCTTGCGCCCACTTCCTCATTTTTCTTTTCTACCACCACCCTCGGCCCCGTTCGATCTTTCATGGTCTTTCTTTCCTGATTGCCGTTTGTCTAATGTTCGCTGTTTCCTATCTCCCAAAATCACCAAAGCGCTAACTACTTGTATTCTTTCAATACTTTTAGATTGACTACAGCGCACCATGCATCTTCACGAGAGAATTAAACATGACCTTCTGACCAAAGGTCGTGGTGAATACACCCTTACGGTCGACCAATTTGATTACGACTCCTTTGACCAGCTATTCGAGGAAATGAGGCCTCGGTATGTTTACCTATAATGTTGGATACAAGCGCTGATAGGAACAATGAAAGCCATTGCTACAATTCTTTCACTCAAACTCTTGACGTCGATATGCCATTGTGGATACATGGGCTTTGCAATGATTGGTTCAAAGCTTGGCTGACTCAAATGGTGGTGGAAGGATACGTCGCCCAAAGATCGTTATATGCTTCCTCAGGGATTACTTTGAGAGGGTTCACTGGCCGCTTTTACGGGAGGTATGCCGCCTACAGTCTTCGTATCATATCAGTATGTACTAAGATCTGTAGTGTAAAAGAGCCAGATTGTTTCATTACCTCACGCGGAATATGGCCTGGTGTTACGCTCGAAGTCGGATACTCAGAGACGTATAACAAACTACTACAAGATGCAGATATCATGCTAGAAGGCTCCCAGGGCAAAATTCATCTGGTAATACTCGTGAAGCTAGTCCCGCCCGGGCCCAGTGATACGCACTTTGAGTCTGGATTTGTTGAGCTTCACGAGTATAACCCTGCATCCGGGACCAGAAGAAAGAGAGGCCAGAGAAGGGTAGGTCTAATGCATGGCGTTCACTTTGCATGTTTCTTACATTAACTCAGACACTTTATCCAATTCCGAGAAGCCATGCTCGGCAGCGTATCACACTGCAATGGGATGATATCATTCGAGACAATACAGACCTCCTATTACGCCCAGTATCAAGTCCACCCCCCCCCTTGATGCTTGATGACTTGCGCAGATGTGTGGAGTTTGGACTTGACCAAGAACTGAAGACTCGAGAGTATTTAGAAGAGCTCTGAGTTATTCCTTTTCGTGTTGTATACTGTTAATCAGCTTGAGCACTGGTAGTGGTCGTGGCCGTTCTTTAGTTACACTTCTAATATAATTACTTTTGTTAACATTCTCTCCATACTTGCTTCACGCCATATGCTTTTGCTACTTTAACTGTCGCTTGAATCAGCCTAAACTATGCCCTAAGCATATACGCGTCCTCTAGATACATTCAATCTGCTGCATTAATGCTGTCAAGAAAAATTAGATATAACGTTCTGTTCAGAGTTGAAAAGATGGAAATGAACATACTAACTCGCATAGCAATATGAGATTCCTGTGGAGTAGACACTAGATAATAACTGATTCTATATACGTATCAAACTCAAGTTGCTAGAATTCAATCTTTTTTTTTTTTTTTAAAAAAAAGCACTAACCCCCCATACCTGATCCTAAATTTGCAAACACTAGTGAGTGGCTAGCTAGAGCATCTTTGAAGCCATCTGGCTGCGCTGCCTAATTCTCGCCCCATATCGATAGAAAACAAATGGGATAAATGTTAGAAGTATTTCCACCAATGCTAACATTGTACCCGCCCAATTCACCCCCATTACCCCATACATCTTCGAGCCTGCAAGTGGCAATACTCCGCCGAATACATATCTAACAATCGAATTTCCAGCGATTGCAGAGGCGGCATACATACCATAACTAGCCGCCAGATAGCTCGTGGCATAGATGAACACGAGCCCATTCCCCAACCCGAATGGGACACCCGCTAGTATGCATGATATCCAATGGACGGGTGGCCGGGCGGTCCAAGAAAACCAGAACTCTCCAATCGGGATAAGTATGCCGCCAATGCATATTGGTCGTACCAGGGCCTCTGGTGGGATCTTGCCTGTGATCGGGTCGGGTGGATGCTTCGCAATGAGGAACTTGCGGACTAAGGGTTCTGAGAATACAGCTAGGGCTATACCAGTGCCGATTCCTAAGTATCCAAGGCCTGCCAGTCCTGGGGACCATTCGCGGAGTTGCTGAAACACAATTGGATACCCAACAAAGCAGAGGAATAACACTGCATATACAACACCCACGTATACGTTCCAGAATAAGCTATTCAGTGAGCACGAACCATATTTGTAATTTCTTGTTCGTGGCGCACAGGCCAAGGGTTCTCAATTACTCACCATATTGGTTCAAACATAGCCATAATTAGTGGTCGGCTAAGACTAGTCTGCAGCCTTCTCCAGATACTTTCTTCGGCTTGGCTGTCATACTTCGTCCACCAACGCGTATCGCCAGTCTGGATTTGCTTCGCCTTTCGTCGCCTCTTGAGCAGAACGGGTGCGTATGTCTCTTTCACCAAACACAGACATGCAGTTGATGCTCCACCGCATATAAGCACAATCCAATTGATCCAACGCCATCCAAGATACTGGTAAACAAAGCCGCCGATAATAGGACCTAGGGAGTGTCAGTTGGTGCCTAAACCGGTGATTTAAGGGGATTAGGTTGTACCTAAAACAGGACCATTCATTGCTCCAAGGCTCCATAGACTAAACGCTAAAGCTCTGTACTCGGGGTGGATTATATCGTTTATAGTGCCAGGTCCAGCTACTACCGAGGCACTTCCGAAGAAACCACCGAAAAACCTGCTGATAACGACGGCCTCGAAGTTTGGTGCCAGTGCGACCGGTAAAACTAAGATAGTAAACAAGACACCAGTACTGATGTAGATTATTCGTCTTCCATACACTTCAGACAGAGGTGCAAGAACTAGACACCCCAACCCCAGACCTATCATGTAGGTGGTCAGCCCGAGAAGCACCACAATCCGAGATGTAACATCGAAAGATTCTTGGATTCCCGGAGAGCCAGATGTGTAGGATGTGGAATACAATATCCTAAAGGTTGTTTAGATACTCCTGTTAATTCTATGCAATCCTCCAAGCAAGGGGGCTATAGTATAAATTATGCGAAGAGGTGACATTCTAGAACTTACACGCATGTCGTAGTAAGTGAGACAGACCAAACAGTGAAGCATTTGTACCACAAAGGCCAGTTAGCTGGATTTTCTTTGTCGTTGTGTTCCCAGTCAATTTCGAACGCAGGGTCTCGTGGTGCAGACTCAGAATTCTCGGTCAAATGTCCCATACTGACCTTTACCGGTTACCAGGCTGTCTGAAAGCATGACTTGACACAAGGTAACCATCTTGGGGTGTGCCGTGTATTAGTACCTTGAACGATAGTGACACGGTCCTACGGTGAGTACCGAATAATAAGCTGTCGTGTGTTTGACACGGGCATGCACAGACCTAGCGATCCAGTTAGGACATCGTTCCTGTAGGTGTAGTCATCATGCGCGACTGTATTAACAAATTATATTGCAGTTTGGGTTGCTAGGGTTCTTAGGGTGGACTCGGTGGATCTGGCATACCGGAAATAGTGTCGGAAACCCGGAACGATTTCCGCTTGAGTATAAAGGTTTGGTAAGTGAGTCAGTCCCTTCGGCATGTCGATCTGCATATCGAATTGTTCATATCCTTGTAATTCTAGAGTTCCACCAGATATTCTGTTTCAGCCTGGCGTAAGAGCAACCAAACCGAAATTGGGGCGCCGGATTCAAAATTGACTTCCGTAGCTGGTCACTAGCATTTTTTCCGAAGGCCCTCCTCGGGAGACATACATCTGGAATCAGCTATAAAGTACCAGCATTCTACTGAGCTCATTGCAATAGATTATGAAATGTGCCGGCCCGAACCACATAGTCTTTTTTAAGGGTCAAACTAATCATACGTCCACCTGTGCAGTTGCATTTCAACACAGAAAGGTAGCCAGATCAATGGGCTACGCCACTTTGCGTATCAGAAGTCTGTTATGTTCTATAACGGGTAGTCTGAAGAGGACATCCTAAAAGCTAGTTCTTTGGCATTGGGAATTCACCAATGGCATGACAATGGATTGTTCGCTGGTAGAGGCATCTTCGTCGACTAATAGTCCTATGTAGAGCGTGATTGGAAGGTATATGATGCGACTGGTGGCACTTCCATCACGTATGACGAGCTGATGGCATGTCTTGCCGAGCAATCTCAACTTTGAAAGCAGACTATCGAAGTTCGAAAGGGTGACATGTTGCTGATTCGATCCGGTTTCACGCACAAATACGACGAACTATCAGAGGGCCAGGCGCGAGAATTGGCACACACGATGCCCCCTAAGGCATGTGGGATGGCTCAAGATGAGGGAATGCTGCAGTTCCTTTGGGAGAAAAAGGTGGCTATAGTGGGAAGTGATGCGTTAGCATGGGAATGTTTGCCTCCTGCCCCATCTTCTAACTTCCTCTACCATGAAGTCTTGGTAGCAGGCTAGGGATGTCCTATTTGAGAATTATCCCTGTGGTGAGAACATAACAAATGGACCGACCTTCTTTCTCACATCGGGCCCACTCAATGTTCCTGGCGGAGTCGGTAGCCCTGCCAATATGATGGCCCTTCTTTAAAGATTAGCCCCACCATAACAATTGAAGAGATGGCTTTCTAATGAAAAATGGTTATGTAGCGATATCGCATATGTAAGAGAAAGGCTCCCGATAGCGGTAACTCTTATCAATCAATCAATCAATCTACTACTACCCCTCATCGGCATCCGCCGTATGACACTCCCCGCACACCCCGAGTATCTCTGTTACGTAACTTACACCATAGAAGGGCTTTCCCTACCCGCATAATCAGGATGTCAGGTGTACCGTACCATACACATGCCAATGATGCAACACCCCTCATCAGCCTGTTGGAGATTTGGAGGGCTTCCCTTATTTAAGGCCGACATTCTCGCTTCATAATTTATGAAATTAACATTCTCTATTATCCTACAGAGTCTAATTGTACTTCTGGAACCAGATCATCACGAAAATATCCACCATGTCTCTCGCAACACTCGACGTTAGATCCCCCAATATATCCCAACCATAGGATACCCACTAATGACTGGAATAGACATCGCAACACCCTAACCTCCCCTCTGCATCCGCGACTCTCTTCAAGGCCAAGGCCGCCAAGAAATTCAGCTTCGAACAGATTGCCCAACACATCGGTCGCAATGAAGTCGCGACTGCAGCCATCTTCTACGGCCAGGCCAAGGCCTCGCCAGAGGACATCACCAATCTCGCTTCCCTCCTGGAAGTTTCCCATGAGCTCTTGGAGGAGCAACTCGGTGGCTTCCCTGATCGCGGCAAGTCCGTGGAGATGCCACCCAAGGAGCCTCTGATCTACCGCTTGTATGAGATCGTGCAGAACTATGGATATGCCTACAAGGCCGTTTTGAACGAGAAGTTCGGTGATGGCATCATGAGCGCTATCTCTTTCTCGACAAAGGTGGAGAAGGAAACTGATGCTGATGGAAACAACTGGGCTGTTATTACCCTTCGGGGCAAGTGGTGAGTACAATTCTTACTGTTTGTGTGTGAGGACTATGATGCTGACGTGTATAGGCTTCCTTTCTCGAGATTCTAAAGGGTTCATACCGATGTTATGAGTAAACGGAGAGGGGCTTTGTAGCCCCTGTACGTCAATTGATGATATTATGTTCAATGTATGTATGAAAGTATATAAATAGTATAAAAGCATATGCATGACGACAACCTGTTTTCAAGTTGGTACCGTGTAGAATGTGGGAGCAATAGACTTTCTCGCAAAGGATAGTTCAACGATATATCTAACATGAAATTTTATCACAGCTTCTGGTATAAGGGTTGATAATACCTTGTTGATCGATAGTACTAGATAGCCAGATACCTGTGTCGTATACAATTATCTAAACCTTGTGGCTCTCTTGCTGTATGCATCGATGTATAAGTTACAAGGTGCTCAAATATAGTCCTCAGCGTAATCCACTCCATCTTGTGAAGTAGGATAAGAATGTACCTTTGGATAGACTCATCACAGTAATGAAAGACATGGTAGCTTTGGTGGAGTAAACAATCTCTATATTGACAAACAAATCTTTTAGAGAGCCAATAGACAAGGTTTTCTATGAAAACTACAAGCGAAGAGCAATTCACGAGGTACAGCTTCTTATACTGCAAACAAATGAAACAAACCAAAGCTGGGCTAGACTACTAACGGTATGCCTATGGTGAAATTCACTTTCACCGCTGCCTGATTAAATTCACTTCACTGGGCATCCCCCATCAGCCTGACTAGTACAACACCCAGTTGATGAGATCTTGGCCCTCAACAATCTTGGTCCGCAATTGACAAATTCTCTTATATTTCTTCCCTTCCCCGTCCCCCATCTCTCTCGTTTTCTCGTTCCCTTCATCAATCATATCCTCCTTAATACTCACACAGCATCCCTCTGCTGGTCTTATCGATACACGTTATCATCGCTATGGCAGAAAGGACAGTCACCAAGGTGAAGTGCACCTACGCCGGCTGCAAACTAGTCTTCAATTCAGAAAAGGATATGAAGCAACACAAGATCTTTGACTCTGAGCACGAGTATTGCGCCCAGTGTGACGAAGATTTCGAAGACGAGGAGCGCCTTCTCATCCACAAGATTAAAAGCGTAAAGCATATCGTCTGCCCCGTTTGTGGTATCGAGTTTCGCAGCGATGGCGGCCGCAACTCCCATATTCGTCAGGTGAGAACCTCGCGCGATCCCGTAGCCATCTCTACTAATCTGATCTCCGGTGAAGAACCACCACTCCATGCAGATTATCCCTTGCCACGGTTGCAAGGCTACGTTCAAATCCGCCAGCGGTCTGATGAGCCATATTGAGAAGGACGAATGCCCCACCATCCGCTACATTCATCTCCTCCAGGAGCAGTCTAAGAAAATGATGATCAGGGAGGCTCTAGGTGCCGGTGAGGGAATGAATATGCCGATTATCCCTCCCCAGGGCACCTTGGAGGATACCGAGTACGATGATGCAGACGGTGGAGTTATGCTTGAAGCCGGTGAGGGGGCAAGTCAGGAAATTTCGAATAAAGAAGCTATGAACAACCAGCCAAGGCCTGGTCACTATGATCCCACTGCTAGTGTTTCGGCAATGCTTGCTCTGAAGCACTGGCCGACCTTGGATGGGAAGGCGTCCAAGGGAAAGAGTATTGCCCCTAGTGAACTGTTGGCTTTCTCCGAATTGAGCATCTCCACTGCGACAGGCAAAGACAGCAAGTCGCGGAAGGGGAAGGAGCCTGTCAGGTCCCGTCCTGATGCTGTGTCGTCACAACATCCATTCGGGGTTGGAACAATTCGCCCTGGAGACACACTGCGCATGCTCGATCGCGCATGGGACGCTACAAAGTTCTTTAATTCATTCACCGGCCAATATGTCTGTCCTTGTAAGAAGGGCTTTGCCACTATGGCTGAGTTTGAGAACCATGTCCTGATGAAGAGCCGCATGATGGAGGATAGACAGTACGTTGCTGCCTGGCTGACAAGTTATTGTTGCTAACTATACAATTCATTATCGTTAGGTGTCCCGGTTGTCTCCGCTTCTTCAAAACCACCGCTGCTTTGGTCGCCCATCTCGAATCGCCCGGCACCCGTTGCAGCCTCAGTGACGGTGAGAGATACGGTCAGATCTTCGAGGAGATCACTGGCGGACTTATTCAAACTGCGGGATATACTGAAGAGGGCACAATCAAGTATGAGGCTGGCAAGTTGGAAATAACCAATAGCTCTGAGCCTGGTACAGCCACCGTCGGTACGGACCTGCGTCTGCGTCCTCAGCGCCGGGAGTTCTAGCAGCTTGACTCCATCGTTCTACTCGGTCCTCTCCGCCATTGTTCCAGCTACTGACACAACACCAATTTGCGAAAATTCCTACATATGATTATGTCAGACGGCGAACACTTCAACAAATGAAAAGCGAAATATCGAAGAAAATTTTGAACACCCGGAAACCGGAAACGGAGGTGAGATAAACAAACACTGTTATTTGAAGAACACAAATCTAGCTAGCAAAGTCATTTCGACATCGCATGAAGAACTTCATAAGACAACATGTAGACCAATAACGCGTAGACGGGTATAACTCATATCCAGAGGACCTTCCTCCCCACGCCTTCAAATCGTAATGCACTTCCACCAGACTAACAACATTCCTCACAGCACTCGAAGCACAGGAAACCAGCGCACCTAGTTCAGTTAGTTCTCGGTCCACAGGACATCAAAATGTATGGAAGAAGAAACCTACATTCCACAACAACAGCCACCAGCACCACCGCCACGCAACTGCATCGTCTCCTGGGGGTTCTAATAAATTAGCCTATCAAGTCGTTCCTTATAATCTAGTGGGGAAAAAAAAAAAAAAAAAAAAAAAAAAGAGGACATACCGGTTGCTCCGAAACAGCACGGTCAACAATGGGAGCAGGAGGACTAGCCGGTTGTTGCATAGTCATAGTGTTAGGATCCCAGGTTGGTTCTTGGGTTCGGGGAGGTTCCTCCTTGGAGGACTTGAAGAAGTCAAAGAGGCCCATGATGTCTATTTAGTAAAATAAATGGAACAGATAAACACGAGTAGTTTATTCCAAGAGAAATAAGTCACGGATGATATAAAATTTAGAGACTAACAAAAACAAACCCACCCAAACAGCGACCCACGAGTCCTTAAATACAACGGGAGCGCGCTACGCCCTAGTCGATAATTGGAGGGTACCTGACCCTAAGCCGCTCGGCTAATAGTATATCCCAATAAATAGACACAGGTGGAGCGACTAGTGGCAGAGACGGGGCTGTTCCCTCAATATCAACCAGTAACGATCACGATGTGCTCCACATCATGAACTGAGCCCTGTCGGCTTGCGTTTTCAGGCCGGTCGATCGACCCGTCCTATCCGTGATTTTCTCACGGAAGGAGGGTGACGATTGGACTTGGTCTAGATTATTATCTGACTCGAAGGTGCTTGTTTCAGTCTTAGCATTAAATGTAAGCCGATCATTATCCATTTCAGTAAATAATGAACAGAAATTAATGGAGATTTCCGAGCTTTTCGACGGAGTTGGGATATTTTAGTCAAGATGAAAAAACACACGTAGGCAGCGCTGTTTCGTGCTGATAGCCCGCTAAGCTTTCCTTAAGCTTTTGGCTTGTTCGGCTGTGACCTATTTTTGGGGCTTGTTCGGCTGTTGGAATGCCGTGTCGTCCTTGTCACGTGTGTCACGTGCATACCCGTGGACGGTGAATTACTGAAAATGGTATGGTGCTCCTATTTCGGATTAGCGCGTTACAGCCTGTTGGCATTAAAATCAACTAACAGTATCCCGCTACGTGATATACTGTAGACATTCTACTTCAAACTACTCCTTAATTATCAAGACATGCCTACAGTCATTTCATCTTAACGATCGCAGCATATAGTGTCCCATATCTTCCTCCGCTAGTCAGAGATCATCTCGTCCTGGCTCCACCGATAACGCTCCACCGTCTAACACGGGCTTTGCAGTTAACCTCAATTATTCTGCCTGAAAGGTCACCCCTATTGATCAGCTTGTATAGTTGATTTCCGTTACGAACCTTTCTAGCACGGAATGCGGATGGCCATGCTTATTATAGAGGGGAAATCTGACATTCGATATCTCATTATCTGACAATTGCAGCTCCAATTTCTAGACCAACCACAGTTAACTGTAATCTTTTGACCCACGCCGGTGGTAAGGATTTGTTAACCAGTTCTCTCCCAGCTCATACCCATACAGCCCTATCATTCGTTTCTCTTGTATGATGGCTGGGGGAGTAGCAATGTAGTGCATTTTCACAAAGGTAGAGTAGGCGTGGTCACATAATCAAGGAGAATCCTACAAAAGCAGAATATATCACAATACCACTCGACCAAAACACCATATGACCTCAGGATCATGCCTTGGATATCTTATTCCCAACAAAATATATATTTTGGTAACTTTGTGCTGACCATAAGTGGAATAGAACTACCATCGAGGCTGACAGTCTTTGCGATGTCATTTGTAGCTATCTGAAGCGACGAGACGGACGGCAAAATAGTCTCGATCCGATTGTGTAACCTCAATTATTTACGTATGTACTTCATTTAGCGATGTTCGTTATCCAAATCTCAAAAATCTATACGACATTGTAAGCGAGAGAAGAAGGTACGCAAGTGGGAACCTTTACCATTTCGCACAAATCTTTGAATGCCACGACACTGCTGATCCTTCACTCGAGCCACATTTTCTTATCCCTTACATCTATCTACACTGTGCTTAGCTTCCCACCCCAGGTACTGGCTACACTACACTTCTATGGTATTATATACTGTGGTGGCGGTGTATTGGACCAGTCGATCTTATCATTCGTTATGCAGTAGGAAATCCATTCCTATCACACAGAACAAAGTTTCTGTATTCATGAAAGCTACCAAGCCGTTAGCTTTAGTGGCCAGGTATTTCTCGTAGTCTTTAAATGTCGTTTTCACTGCCACTCCTAGAGATGATGGCTCTTGCGAAGTAGTGGCAGTACGCGGGCGGTGTCCCAAAAGTTGAGTCTCTCCAGTGTGAAATGCATGTCTGAAGCGATGGACACTAAAGTATATACGCATAAAAAACATTACAATTCTGTTAAGACATACAATATCGGCAATGTTACGGCTTGAAGGCCACAGCCACAAAAATACGCAATGTGGCGGTGATGTTCCATACCGATCTTCGTGACCAATCTACTAGTAGGTTATAAACGTGCAGTTTTTCTGCATGACCGCCCCACTGTGAAGTTTAAACAGACTACCGATAAAGGTAAGGAGCTATATAGCATGCATATATCGGCATAGACTGCAAGATCTCCGTGGCGAACAGTTTAGACCTGTCATCGGCTCTACCTGAGTTTAACCATCTGCGGTTAAGCCTTACTCGTACTTGAGAAAAGTAGCGAATAGCATAGCATCGCTTACACAGTAGTTTTCACGATTCACTTGCGTTGCGCAGGTTGTAGCTAAATAGCGTCTTGGCTAGATATGCGTTGTTGATTCGAGAAGATTTGAACCCGGGCCATGCCCTATCGCCAATATAACCAAAAGCGTGGCATAAGAGTCTGGCTACACCGCTTGGTGAAAATGACAACAGTAAAGTTGGGGTAGCAGTTCGTACCTAAAATCACACGATGGTATATATATACTTCGTCTCTATAGTCTGTAAACCCATTTTGAGACAGGAAAGTGATACCCACATTGCTAACCGTGTAACCCTTCATGTATATCATCTCATTCATGATATATTTTTCAATTTTGATAGCACTCCTCTACTACAATGCTTTCCCTTAAAGGTCTATGGAGACTCTGTTGGGGCGGAAGTGCTAAGGCGGTCAAGTCGTATCTTGCAGGCACATTGGTTGGCCTCAAGTCTATTCTGGGCGTCGAGACCCAATATAAGCTTGGTGATTCAGAAGAATTTCAAGGGAACGTGGACTATGATTTACCTCTCCCCGAGGTGGCGGATCGCGTCCACGCAGCATGGGAGGGACAGGGGCGTACCACGCCATTGGATGTATTGTGGACGCGCAAATCAGCTGAAGATAGCCCTTTAGCAAAGCACATTGCTACGCTGAAGGAGGGACTGCACGGCACTAGTTCCACTGCCTCACACGGGGAGGGTTGGACCTACAGGCCAGCTCTTGGGGTCAGCGAACTACTCGGCCCTGAGGGCCAGACTGGGCCTTTCAGCGAGTGGTCCCGCGAGTTGGTGGAGATGACAGAAAATGGTATCAGCGTGCTACGGGAAATCATGAGATTTCGCGAAACTATCAATATGTCGGATACGACGGCTAGGGATACCTCGAAAGTTTGGGCTCAGAAGGTCATCATAGGGGAAGACCTTATAGGGGCCATTTTGCGCAAAGCACGTAAAGGGGCCAACGACAACCGCAGCACAAAATCAAAGGTTGTTTGTTGTTCTTCCCCAGCTTATGCTGAAGTTATGAACGAGTTTGGGTTAAGAGGTGTCGCTGCCTATCCTGTCTTCCTTGGGTCTTGGTGGATGGCCCTATTGCTGCATGATTTCGATGATTGGCGACTGGATTACTTGTGCATTTTGGACTATTCATATTTCTTCGAATATAACGTGGACAGCGCTCGGATAATGTCCCAGTCACCGTCGACCTTAAAGAAGGAGATTATGGCAGTTTGGGATATGCCAGACCTCCCAGAGGAGCTCCGGGTCCGCAGATCGCACATGGTTTGTGACATGGCCTTCTTTGAACTCAAGCGTGCACATGAGGCTTCTGTCCGAGCGCAAAAGACAGACGGCCTCACTGCCTGGGTTCATGCCGATCGAGATACCTGGCGCGATTTCAAGGCTGTAGATGCCGGTGGCTTCGCACATTTCTTGTCATTTGTAGCAGGGATTCCCGGACGCGATGACATGATGTTGTCTGGGCTTGTCAACGACTGGGTCGATCTCGGGCCGGATCTGCGCTTTGAGGAATGCAACCAGTCTGTCTTTGCTCTCACCCGTGGATCCTTAGCTCTCGCTGACATGTTGAGCTGCTACGAGCGAACCGTCTGGATGCTGAATGCAAGCTTCGCTTCTAACGAACGCCATGTGGGCTTCATGACCATCGCTGGCGCCTGTATATGGGAGCTATGCAACCACCGTCAAGACGTGTGGCGGTACTACTCTCTAGCCTTCAACCTGAGCTCGACTGTGCAAGCACTAGGCCTGTATAAAATTGCTGACCTTGCTGGGTGTTATACATCCAACCTGGAGCCAAGGCTGCTACCTGAAGCGAAGGAGTTGGACATCCCTCGACGAAGACAGTCTTACCGTGTCTCCGTGGACGGAACGGAATACACGGGTTCGATCATGCTTCATGCAACTGTATGCGACGCCGTCGAATCCAACATACTCCCGGAAAGTATAATAAATTATCAGATTATCATTCCACTTCTCCTCCGCCGTGGAGAAATTGACGCGAACACTTTCCTGTCACACATGGACCGTCATTACTGCACACATGCCGCAGAGATTACGCGGTCCGGCCATGCCAATAATTTCAGCTACCTATATGGTCGGGCCATCGCTGCACTTGTGATGGAAGGGTGGTGGTCGGGTCTTTACTTTATCATTGGTGTTGGTAGTCTTATTGAGGCTCAACCCGGCCATATCGCCGGGGACCGCCCTCACTGATTTTAGGCTCTCTGGTCTGTCCAAAGCGACAGTCTTTCAGTCTTTTCGAAAAGTACGGACCATATAGGGGATTCTGGGCTCTTTTTGTTCCGTGTAATTTAATATTGACCTAGGAGTAAATACGTATTTTGCCCGGGTTGGTCTAGTTACCCCGATTATGAATACAAAAACTATGGATATTAGTTACATCTCCCGGCTCTGGTGTCCTTGTGCAGTGTTGTTGTCTATAAGCTGCCGATACTGCCAAAGGTTTTAAGAATAGGTCACTCGACACGTGTGTGGAGCTTTTGAACGTTGCCACCTACATGAAAATAGTAGTTTACGGACAGGGAACGGTGGAAGAGAGGAAAAGAATCAACCTAGGAGTCTAAAGATTGAACGGCGGTCTAGGCGATAACACGTGCACATGGGGTCACATGGACTAAATAGATCAGGTGTTGACTTGTCACATTATCTGCAGTTAGAATAGTTTGGTGTCCCTGCAAGGGGGCCGCCCAGACCCTACCAATCCAAATTGTATCGTATGTACAAGCAGTAAGCGCGAAGTAAAAAAGAAAACAGCCTCTTCCTGCAGATTTGCTTTGGACTGTGCGTCCTGCTACACCACTATTAAGCGGTCCTCCCTACAGGTGTCTAGTTCAACAATATATGTCCTGGAATTTGTCGGCCCTGGCCTTCACCTTTCCATATTTCAAGCCTCAGAAACCTGAAAATTGACATGAGTACCACTTTTAATTATGTCTTTGTCAGTTTGGATTATCTTAGTGGTAAACTCTTTCATCATATTTTAAACCGGTCCAACGATGAATCTAACCTCTACGATCCAGGTGTCAAGTTACCCCATTCTTAGAGCCATCTATAACCTCACGCTCCACCCCCTTAGAGATTTTCCCGGACCAATCCTAGCCTTGTGTTCCCCAGTCCCGCACTTCTACTGGATCTATAGTGGTACCTTCCATTCGAAGATCCTTAATCTTCACAACAAATATGGCTCTGTTGTCCGCGTCTCCCCAAGCATACTTCTCTACAACAGCCCCCAAGCATGGAAGGATATCTGTGGCCACCGTAAACTAGGTGATCTTTCGTTCGAAAAGGACCGTGAATGGTACCCCATTGGCCCCAGCGGAGTCTCCATTGTCAATGCCATGGAAACTGAGCACAGCCGCATGAGACGTCTACTGTCGCACGCCTTCTCGGAGCAGGCAATGCGAGAGCAAGAACCTCTATTACAATCCTATATTGACTTACTTATCCGTCGCCTCCACGAACATTCCACCCGTACAGCAGACCCTGTAGACATGACCCAATGGTTCAACTACACCACCTTCGATATCATTGGCGACCTCTCCTTTGGCGAGTCCTTCGACTGTCTAAAAACCAGCAAATACCACCCTTGGGTCGAATTTACCTTTCGTAGCTTCAAAGCATCTGCGCTCATGCGTCCATTCCTCGCACTGCTTCCACCATGGCTATTCGAGCTTCTGTTACCTCAGAAACTACAAAGAATGATCGAGGATAACTTCTATATCTGCAAGGAGAAGGTTGCCCGTCGTCTGAAGCTCCAGACATCCCGTCCGGACTTTATTAGCTATATCCTCAAACATAACGACAACGACAAGCGTCGCATGTCTCGGGATGAAATTGAGGTGAATATGGCCCTAATTATGGTGGCTGGTAGTGAAACTATTGCTACTCTTCTGTCCGGTTGTACTTTCCTTCTTTTGCAACATCCTGAGGCATATCGCCGTCTCACCACCGAGATCAGAACGTCTTTCTCGAGCTATGAGGATATCAATTTTGTCTCTGCCGCCAACCTACCATATCTCAGTGCAGTCCTCGAAGAATGTCTACGCATGTATCCGCCTGTTCCAAGCGTTCTCCCGAGAAAGGTTCCTAGTGGCGGAGCGATAATTGATGGGAGATTTGTTCCCGGGGGTGTATGACCTTCTTAACCTGAACCTAAGCTTTTCTTGACCATTTCAACACTAACACTTGAATGATAACTTAGACAACAGTCTCAATGGCCTATCTATCTGCTTTCCGCTCAAAAGCAAACTTTGCTGAACCAGACTCATTTCTTCCGGAAAGATGGCTTGACAAGGGGAGTCCTCGATTCGCTGCCGACAAACGGGAAGTCCTGCAGCCATTTTCATACGGTCCAAGGAATTGTTTGGGAAAGAAGTACGTTACCATTGCTCATTATTAGTTGGGTATTTGACTGACTTTCTTTTTTTTTTTTTCAGTCTTGCGTATGCGGAAATGCGTCTGATTGCTGCTAAGCTATGGTGGAGTTTCGATATCACGGCCGCTGAGGATATCGACGGTTGGATGGATCAACAGCGGTCGTATGCTATCTGGGAAAAGTATCCGTTGATGGTTAAGATGACGGTTGTTCAGCGGTAAAGAACTCTAGTATATTGGCCAGTGTTTCAAGGTCTCTAGAGAAAGTTATTATCAGATGCCTTTCGCTTCATGTTTCTTTCGGAAAGAGATAATATTCATACTGAGGTCATGGCCGTTCATTCCACTTGCATCACCCTAGCGGCCAATGTACAAATCCCGCTTGTTTTATTTGACACTCATTCCCATATATTCTTCTTCATTCGAACAAGGACCATTGCGGCTCTGTCTTACCATTTTAATCGTGTGTGGGAGCAAGTGATAGCTCAGGTCGGGCACAAATACAGGAAAATGGGAGGGTGTCATGTCAATACAAGAGATCGACCGACAGATGGAAATAATACGCATAGAATGTATATGCAGACCTAATACATCACCGGGTGTCGAGATGTATAATGTTGAAATCTCAAAGCTAGTCAATTGCAGCTTTGTGAGTGAGAGTCAATCTCACATTGTCATATAGAGGGACGATAGAAGTCTTGTCGCATGCAAGGTTTTCCAGTGTTCCGCTCCATCCTGATGCAACTATTAATCATTATTTTCTATATACATGCACGGATACACACGTTCTTTGAGAGATACTACGTAAGGGGTAAAGCAACCACGATCTCTCTCCCACTCGCGGTAAGGAGGTATGAAGATCGGGAAAGTCAAAACTGCCGCAGATCGCACCGAGGACAACCCAGAAGCATAGTATTATGCAAGATACTAGCGGTGTATCCAATATCGGAATGCCAATATGACCGCTCACTTTTGTTGTTTGTAGATGGCAATATCAGGTAGTTTATGTTAAGACCCTGCGCGCTTAGGTGGGCTTACTATCGTTTCAGGGTGCTCAGTACCACTTTCTCTAATATCTTCTAAAAAGAAATGGGGATCTTCTCTTATCCGCTAAAGCAGATCTTCTCCTGTGTCGATATGTCCACCAACTTAGCTTTCATAATCGTGAGCTGTATGCTAGGCCTATACCTAGTTCACGACTTTCTGTATCCCAAAACAAAACCACTCCCACCCGGCCCACGGCCCTTGCCCTTGATAGGAAATATCCATCAGCACCAATCCTCATCACCATGGGGAAAGCATCAGGAGTGGCACCGAAAATACGGCCCCATCATCACCCTGAAGCTAGGCTCGCGTACAGTGATCATGCTAGGCTCACACAAAGTAGTTCGCGACTTTGCCAGAATGGGATTTCTCTATTCTTCCCGCCCTCGTCTGATACTGGTCGGGGAATGGATGTTCAGCGGTATGCTTCCGGCGCTCATGCCCAACGGTGCACAATGGGAAGCCTCCCACAAACTAATCGCGCCTTTATTCGGCGGAAATGCTGTAAAAGCATATAATGAAGTGGAGGATTTGGAGAGTGCACGCATGGTATATGAGTTGCTAGGGAAACAGTGGTATTCCACCTACTTCCGTACTTATGCGTCTGGTATTGCCAACCTCTTGGGGTATGGACACCGGGACGGACCCGATGAGGCTGCGCGAGTCGAGGCCTTGATCTACGAGGCTTTCGGTGCGGTTTCCATTGACAAGGTGCTGGTGGATCTGTACCCCTGTTTGAATCATCTGCCAGCTGTATTCGCGAAGTTTAAGCTCACTGCGCGCAGTCACCAGAAGCATGTTCTGGATTTGTGGTCCATGCGGGCCAAACGCGCGATCCAACGATCTGATGTTTGGAGCTGGGCGCAGGTGGTGCACAAGAATAAGCCTGAAGACGTCGTGTCCTGGGAGCATTTTATCTTTCTGCTTTTCGAGCTGGAGTCTGCCGCAACCATTACGACTGCCCAGTTTCTGAATATATTTGTAGCGGTCGCCCTTGAGCATCCAGATTCCATACAAAGAGCGCAACAGGAGCTGGACGCTGTGGTCGGTCGCGACAGATTGCCTAGCTTTGCTGAGCAGGATCAACTCCCATACCTGAATGCGTTCATATTGGAGATTGCGCGGCATCGCACGATGGTCCCCGTGGGGTTCCCACATGCCGCTATGGAAGAGGGTGAATATATGGGCTACCGCATCCCAACCGACGCACTGATTATATCCAATCAGTGGTTATTAAATATGGACGAATCGACCTATGATAATCCAGAGGTCTTTCGACCGGATCGGTGGATTGAGAATCCTAGCCTACCATTGCCGTCTCTATTTGGTTTTGGGCGACGAAAATGCCCTGGGGAGAGAATGGCCAAGGACTCTATTTTTATTGCAATTGCACGGTTGTTATGGGTATTTGATATTAAACAAAGTGGACAGGAAAAGTATGTGTCTTCAACTGACACTCATAATCTACTGTACATACCACAGATTGAAAACGTCACCTTTGAGGTCCGCAGTACAAAGCACCGGGCAGTGGTTGAGAGGCAGTGGCGGGAGATGGACAAGCACGAGAGACATCTGATGGAAAGGATCAGCCGGCATATGTAAGGTAGTTATATTGTGGTTGCGCAAGGTTGCCCATCCTCCACCGCAAAGTCAGCCTAGCCCCTACCCACCAGTGGACACATTTTCACGCTGTTCTATTTAACCATGTTATGTTGACCTGGGTGCAATTCACCTCTGTATTCCGACCGAGCCCACTGTCCAATAGCGAAAATATCGCATTTCTCTTGTTTGCGATCTGTTCACATCACATATGTATGACTCCGTAAATGGAACATACACTCGGAAAACCTCTTTGCTCGTATGATTGCTGCATGGTTCGCTTCAACTGGCGCTTGGTCGTTCTCAAACGAAGTCATCCGATGTGTGCACCACTGGGAGACCCTCCCAGCCGTAGATTACTTTTAGAGCTCAGGTAGGTTTCAGACTTCTCGCTTTACATTTCTCCCATTTTACAACGTTGTATGTCGAGGAGATACAATCTAGCGAGATATAAAACGGTGCACATCTACTCACTCGTACTGACGTCCCTTTTTGGACAGGCTCGCCTGGTCCAATGCCCCTATACCAATCCGGCTGACTGACCCAGAATCATCTGTGATCTCGCCCAACCGAATGGACATATCTTTCAACAACAACGCCCTGTCCATTCCACCTAGTGTGCCGCCGCCGGGTGGAACCTCGAGGCTCGGTGCATCTCGCGTCATTGTCGACACATACCCCAGAATATCCGGGTTCCGTGTAAAAAGCCCAAGCATGGCTGGCACAAAAGCCCCGATAATGATAGCCCCTGTACCAACGAGCGAGATGACAAGCCATGGCCAGCTGATCTCATATATAGGAGGCGGTGTGCTATCGGTAAATGTACCAGTGCCATTGTAGGAACCCCCACCACTAGACGCAGATAGCAACAGACCGTAGGTGTTGACAACCTGAGTAAGCCGCAGAAGGAAGATATCAACAGGGATGGTGAAGGTAGATCCCGTGTAAATATTTGCTGCTAAAGGAGTGTCTGGATTCCGGAAGTAGGCTTCGGTTAGAGAGCGCTCACTACCTGCCGACCTCAGGTAAGAGAAAAGAACTTTGATTGCTCGAGCATCGGCCCAGTAGGTACCATTGGCGTGGGGACTAGTTCTTGATATAGGGCGGACAGCCGTGGTGGCACAGTTGGCGATGCCGTCAACACATTTGACTCGCATGTCGACGTATTGCTCTGTAAGGTTGAATGACGCCTTGAAGTTGGTGTCTGGGACAGTGAAATTGAAATATACTTTTGTTAGCCCGTACCTGGTTTCGCTCTTGTCAATAGTGTACATGCCGTCGTCCTCAAAGTCGAAGCCTTTGCTGTTGAATGTAGGCTTGCCTTCGATAGAACTCATGTGAAGGTTATAGTAGGGCGCCTCCATGGTGAACTCGGTCTCGCCACTTTCATCCTTGACCCCCTCGATGACGATCCCAGTCAAAGAAGAATAGTCGGTATCGTTGGTGTCTACTTCTATCCAGTCAGATGTGGCAGATCCCGAATCACCTAGGTCGACAAGTGGAATTTTGAGGCGACCAAAAATATCCAAGGGGGAGTGCTTGACAACGTCCGGTGATAATAGGCTTTCTTGATACATAGCGGTCGCTTTGGTGAATGTTGTGGAAGGCGTGAATGTATGAGTACTTAATTCGGTATCATTGCCATATGTAAGGTCGATAGGGCGAGTGATAGTTGTCGGCCTAGTATGGAGCATTCGGAGGATAGACTGACTGCCTAGTGGCGAGATACACCAGAGAATGATGAGAAGGAGGGCTAATGGGTTGATAGATCGAAGTGAGATCTGAGTGGTGACTGTATTAAAGAAGGTCGAGCTTCCAAAAAGCTGCTCAAGAACGCCGATAGAGACTCCGCGCTCCAACTTCCACGAAGCGAGCTGTTGGTTCATCCGTCCGATCACCGCGGCAAAGGTGAGGGGAAATAGTGTTGCTCCCTGCATGATGATATTTTGAGCTAGTAAGCAATCTTGAAGTTATTCTATTTGGAGAGCTGGACTGTCAGTCTTACCAAGTTCATTGCTGTCTCGACTCGGTTCCAATCCGCCTTATCTACTGGGTTCCCATTGCGTTTGATGACGATCACGATCAGAACCAAATAGAGTACTGCTGTGGCAACACCGAGTAGATTCACGAGCAAGCTACCTACGTCTAATCGACTAAGCTTTCTTGATCCAATGGGCCATCCGACGATATCGAAGGCGGCTGGGTCTCTCTGATTATCTTTCTCCACAGCAGATACACTTGCGTCCTTTGGATGCAGCTGAGTGTCTGAATTTCGACTGTTCCGCAGTGATTCTCTCTCGGAAACGGAGGTTGCATGCGTGCTAGACGGCCCATGATAGACTTCTAGTTCCATTGTTGCATATACTGGAACACAGCCGTAGGTCTTCTAGGTAAAAGCAGCTGGTTTAAAATGTACGGCATATTTCAAAGAGTAGAAGCTAAACGATAGGAGTGGAAGCCTTGTGGAGATAATTATTTGAGTGTCGGTTGTAACCGCACCTTATCTTCAAGTCCAACTTTCTGGTGAACAAAGTCGAGTAGGGTGCCGAGCATCTTACCTGCAGCTAATGCTCCTGTGGAGTTTTCCCTCCAATACCCTGATGCCCCACCATATGAAGTATTTCAGCCCAGCCAATCATAGAGACAAGGCCCAAATACTGTGCATATCCTGCCCAGTATCGGGTAGTAGAGATGGGGTTGGGGCCAAAATCCTTCCTTGGCAAGGCAGAACCGTGCAGGTTTACGAGTTTCTTTTATGTTTCGCGCACCTGCGCTTTTTTCCCCTTTCCCCTCCTTAGGGTTTGTTCGACAAGACGAAACAAAAGTAGTCAAGAAAGTGCGTCAAAGGCGGATAAGGGCCAAATACACAAATGGGACCTTATACCCGCGGCTCAGGTGGGACAGACAATGGAGAGTCGGAATTGCAGCCAGAGCAGCAACTATTCATACCTAACTCTTCTGAGCCTGTGAGAAATGATCGAGATAATCTGTTAAGACCAGTGAATTCTCACGATGAGCAACCTGAGTCGTCTACTCTGTCGGAATCACAAGCGCAGCGTTTGATAGATACATCGGCGGCACCTTCCTCGCTAAAGCAGCCATCACAAGGCAGGCAGCTGCGGTCCAATAAGTGGCAGCTGATATTTGATATCCTCAGTGCCATCTCTGCCCTGCCTTTTGTGGCTTTAGCTCTGGTTGCCATTGTCTATAATTCGAGGTCGGTAGATGAACGTGACTGGGATGATCTCCAGATCGCAATGAAGACGGTTTGTGCTCTGGTATCTAGAAAGTGAATATTATAGGCATACAATCTCACTCTTAATTATAGTCGGTCACAGTATTCCCTTTAATATTTTCGGCCGTAATCGGTCGTGCCATACGGCAGATTGCTAAACAAAATCTCGAACGTGGATCGACTCTCGGAAGACTTGAGCAGCTCAGTAAAAGTACGACGGTATTCGGTGCCATCTCAACACCGTTAATGCTGAAGTCCTGGAACATCTTGGCCCTCGTACTCGTACTTATCTGGCTGGTCTCTCCCTTGGGTGGGCAGGCGTCACTATATCTTATAAGCCCACAGAGTCTTGAACACGTGGAGCTGCAGGAAGTGCAATATCTTGACATTAATGGCCTCTCCAAGGCCCCAAACCTAACTTCATTCCCGAGGCTTACAGATGCTTTGGAGGCGGTGTTTCTTGCCTGCCTGATCGCGCCGGTAAGTGTGAAAGAGGCTGACAGTGATGCGTGGGGCAATGTCAAGATTCCCTTACTTCGAAGTCTTGTTCGGAATAACACAGCTCAGAGTGAGGGGTGGTTTGAACCTGCAGGCAATAAAATCACCCATTCGTCACTTATCGGAGTGCCCATGTTCGGGATATCATCGAGAGGCAACAGCACCTTTCAGCTACAGACTTCTTACATTGATACAGACTGTTACGAACTCGGCGAGGCACCTGATGAGCTTGTCTACAAGTATAATGGCCAAAATGGTCAGTTCCGGATTTATCCAGCGGCCCCGTGGAATGTCACCAGGTCCGTAAATGCGTCAGTTGCACCCGACATACACGTGCTTTCGGGGTACGGGAAGGAGGCTACAAATGGCGCTTTGATAACCTGCCATGTGACAAACGTGTATGTCGAATTGGAAGTGCTTTGTTCTGGATCCAACACCACAGCCCAATCTCAACGCAGCTGCAGGGTGACAGCCATCCGGGAGAGTGTCGAACCACATCAGTCTTCATCCATGCCGCCGTTGATGTATCCCGACTTTAGTGTTTGGGATACTTTTGCACAGGGTCTGGTGAATGCGTCTCTGTTAGTAAATAGGAAACTCGGGACATACACGGAGGCATATCTTCAAAATGTTGACGTGGCCGAAACACTGCCGCTACCAAAGTACCTCTTGAAAACGCCTTTGAACGACATATCTGACCATCTCACTCAAATCATGAACACGTTTTACTTGGGCAGTATCGCTCTACCCTTTGTTACCTTGGGGCCTAATCTTCCCTCTCAGGGCAACTACTCCAAATATTCCGAGGCTTATGAGGCCTTCGACCGCTCTTCGTTAGCCAGTGTACAAGCTGAAAGAGCCTATCGGGATGCAACTGCTACATACGTTGCGAACTGGGGTTGGGTGGTTGTTCTTTTATTGGCAAGTTTAATGCTAATAGGAGCATCTGTTGTGAGCTTTTGGGTGGGACGCCAAAGCCTAAACCCTGACATCATTGGATATGCTTCAACTCTGACACGCGACGCTCCTTACCTACGGCTTCCTTCAGCGGCAAGCACGCTGAGTGGATTCGAACGGGCAAGGTGGTTGAAAGACGTTCGAGTTCGGTTTGGCGATGTACAACCGGAAGACACAGTTGGCAGATTGGCCATTAGCACGCCTGACTTGGCTGGCAGGTCACGCAAAGGCAGGCTCTACTTGTGATGATTAAGAGTTATGGGAGACTAAATCGACATTGTATTTGATAATTATAGAATAATCTCTTTTAGATATTACTAATGTAATAGCGATTTAGTACTACAATAGTCCGATTAAGGTTAAGCCCTACTTTCTGGCTACCTCATGCAATACAAAGTCCTTCCTCAGCAAAGCTTACTACGTGCTGGTTGGTGACGTGACCTACATGAAAACGCCTGTTCGGCAGTGGCAAGTACTTAGTATGCAATTTTGATAGAAAATGTCTAGATTGAATTGGACTTTGTAAACATTATTCTAGGGGATATAATATATTTTCAATATAAACTTTTCAAAGTTTCCTGGTCTACCACTTCTGTAGCTTTCGTTATCTCTTCTAGAGCATCCTTCACAGTTCCTTCAAGGTCTCAATAGCTCGTAACCTAAATCCCTTCCTATAGTACTGAAATTGCGCCGGGCTACAGTTTCGGATATGAGCTTCCTCAAAACTTCAACATCGTCTTCTATACTCCTCAGTAGATAAAATGAAACTTAACTTACCCCTAGCGAGGAGTGCCTACCTAGTACTGGGTACCTTAGTACTATAAGTAGTAGTAGTAACCCTATATTACCCAATCAGGTAAAGTCCACCTCTCAAGCCAAAGAACCAATCACCTGATCCAATGACAAAAAGCTGCACAACCGGCTTAAGCCGACCACCGTAAGTTTTTCTGCTTCCTTTCAGATACGAGAATTGCCTTATCAGAATCAAAAAAATAATCGCAGTAAAAAACCCCATACTCACCACAAAACCCAATCATTGATTTCTCGATTCCTACTCCCAACATCCGAAATAAAAACCAAACCCCCACCAAAATGTCCACAACCACACCCGAAGATATCCAAACCCGGCGCGAAGAAGACTACGCCCGCTTCAAGAACTACGCCGCCTACACATTCCTCGTCGCATCCCCAATCTTAATCGCTCTCCCGCCCCGGAAACTCGACCACCTGACTGTGCTCCTCGGCACTGCCTTCGCCTTCTCCGCGAACCATATCACCTACGACCGCACGGGGCGGAGTATCGTCGACCGCGTGCATTCGAAGATATCCTCCGGGCGGACGATCGTGCCGAGTGGGTTGCCCAGTGAGCGGGCGTTGGAGATCCAGGCGCGGTTGCGCGCATCAAGGGAGAAGCAGTTGCGGGAGGGAGGACTGACGACGGAGGAGATTGAGAAGCTGAGGGCGAGGGAGATGCAAGATAAGGGGGTTATGGAGAGGGTGTGGATGGGTGGGGAGACGGAGGGATGGAAGGAGAGGAGATTGAGGGAGGAGCAGGAGGCGTTGGATTCTGGGAAGGGGTATGGGGATTTGATTAAGGAGCATATTTGGGATGTGTGGACTTGGGGGAAGAATGATGGAGAAGGGAAGAAGGAGTGAGGTTTTGTTTCTGTGCAAAATTGTATAGTATGTGTGTATGCATCTTGGATGGGCGTTTGGGACTTACTTTACTCACTTTGTGGAGCGTTGGATATGGCTCTTTTTGTATAGTATGTATAGTATGGTTATGTGTGATATGTGATGGTGTTTCTCCACTTATTTTTTACTCTACTGATGGGTTCTGTTGTAGGAGTTAGGGTTGGAAAGGCTGAGGGAAGGCATTCTTGCTAGCCAAGCTTGTGAGAAGCATAACTCATTGATTGCTTGCATCGGTTCATCTTCTAAAGAAGCTCCATTACCTTTCAGACCGTCTTCGCCGCAGTCAATGAGAAATGTTACCTCCATCACCTGCCCAGCCAAAGGTTGGCATCTCACCTACGCCCCATATGGTTCAAGACATTGCGGAGGACATTGCGGAGATGATCCTGCTTCATACTCATTCTGATCCTTCGACACTGCTGCCGATGCTTTATGACTCGTAGCCGTATCTATTCTTGGAAGAGAATAAGGAGCATTTTGAAGGGGGACGTTGTTAGATAAGTGCGTCTGAGTGAGAGGTGATGCGTAGGGCTTGATAGTTTATGCAAGATGAGTGGTGGCTGGTGTGGAGGTCTACTATTGAGACAATGTTCTGATATTTATATTCGATGTGAAAAACGGACAAAAGGTGATGGTGTATCCAAGGCTCTGTTAGTTAAGCATGAATACAGTTCGTAGTATTTCATATCGGTTGGATAGACATCCAGGTTCGCATGTGTGCTCCTCAGTGGAAATCAGAAACAGTAACCTAATAATCATTGAATTTAATGTCTCAGTTCAAGCCCTCCTTCTCTTTCGTGTATTTTAATACCCCTTCATAAGATGTAGCAAGGTTTCTTTAAATGCTAGGATACCTTACGTAGCAGCATATCATATCCTTCTGGCTATTAACATACGTCTCCTCCAGAAGATGCCAATTCTCGAAGAAGGCCTTTTCTCATCGAAGGGGTAAAAATGATGGGCCGGTGATTTGAACTAACTACTTATTGAAACTACCATGGGCTATTCTACACATAACATGAGCACATTCAGAGCTCCATCCATCAATGCTTTACAGCTCAGACATCACAGCCTACAGCCTACATCCTGCGACAGCTACAAAACACTACCTTTACAAGATCACTACGTAGCCAGTCAATAAATTGGAGAAAAAAATCAAACTCCATTTAAAATCAAAAACTAGAAAAGCAGAAACAACACAAAAGGAAACTGTTATCCTCCCATTCGGGCCTTGGAACAAGGGAAACATCCTCGCCACGTCAATAGACATATGTGTACGAGGTAAAAACCTTGAACAGGATGCCAGAACATAAGAAACCCTTTATTCCATTTTCCCCCAGCTGACCTTTTTATGTAGGCCGCTTTTACCTTTATAAAAATGTAGCCCGTCTTGAAAGACAAGGTCTACTTTAAAATCCTCACTGTAGTCTGCTTTATGGGCTAGACTACTCTTAACGTCCCCATTTAATAAATAGTAGCCTGTCTTTAAAGACAAGGTCTACTTATAAGAACCACCTCTGTAGTCTGCCTTTAAAGGCTAGGCTACTCTAAACGTCCCCTTTAAAAAATACAACCCGTCTTTAAAGACAAGGCTGCTTTAAACATCCCCACGTAGCCTGTCTTTATAGACAGGTCTACGCTAACATCCCCAATATAAAATCCCCTTTATCCTCCCCAACCTACTCATACAGGGTAGGTTGTTTACCTAGGCGGGACATCCACAGCACGTCTGCCGTGGATGCCCCAATTAAAAAACATCAACCCAACGACACGTCTGCCATTGGGTCACCCTTTATCCTCCACTTCCCTCGATTTGTTCCTCCACCAGATACCTCAATGTTTTGTCCGTTGTGTCGATATATGGGAGCCATATGATGAGAAAGATTTAAATGAAATGACTTAAATGACTTAAATGACTCGGAAGGTTATTCGATTTGCCGGACATATGTTTTTGTTTCTGTCACCATGACTGCCGCTGGCCTGCCTTAAACATTTGCAAAGAACTTAGAAGATTTAACAAAAGAGAAAGCATATCCAACCCGGCCGGCTTCCATTGGGGCGCCCTTTAATTCAATGGAGCCGCCAGCAGTTGGGTAATTTGCGTGATCCACGTAGAAACATGTTTTAAAGTACAGGTTCTTTGGTGGTGTTGTTATTTGATCTTGTTTTTGTTCTTTGATGTTTGTTTTTGTAGGCTTTGGGCGGGCGGCAGTCTGGTGTTGGAGGGTTGATTGTCAACATGTTTATTGGAAGGCCAGGCAGCCCTTATATCGTCAATTAGTGACTTGAGCTACCTGGCCTTTAATGAGATGTTTTGTGGGAAGGCCAGGCAGCCCTTATTTTCGTCAAGCAGTGACTTGAGCTACCTGGCCTTCCATAGAAGTCGATTCAATAGAAGTACAGGGGAGGAGCATCGAACATTTCGATGTCTTGAGGCTCCTCCCCTGTACCTGTCGCGAATTGGGGTGCGGCCTATGATCCGTTAGTGATACATGTCCAAGCCAGAAACTAGAAAGGGGATACTAACAATGGCGAGTGCCGCAAATTGTTCTTCAACGGGGTGGGGCGTGGTGAATACGTCGAGCATCACCACGTCCTCCACTTCAGATGGTGGGGCCGTGGTGAAGACATCGACCATCACGACGTCCCTTTGAGGACAAGGGTGACGAACGGAGATGCCCGGCTGCCTCACCGGCCGCCTGTTAAGCGCGGGCACGTCGCGCATGATGGTGTCGCCATCCCGGGACACCCGTGGTTGAGGGCCACGGCGTTGACCCGGGCGTCTAGGCGCATTGTTTGCACCACCATGCCGGGGCCCCTTCCCTTGGGGACCGAGACCCCGTCGACTTCTCCGAGAGGTGAATTTTTGTTTTTGCCCTAGCCCCTGTGGCTGGCGGGGCCCCTGCTTCTGGATTCTGTTATTATTTCCATTAGCAGGGCGGTTATTACCTCCGCGGTAGCCAGAGGGACCAGAGGCGGGTGAGGGCCGAGACCTTTGATTGATCTATATACCATTGTTAGCTCCATGATCAAAGCCACCCATCATCAGGAGGACATCAACTTACCTCGGACACCTCGGTGGGCCTCTTGCCTCTGCGCCTGTTGCCAGATCCAGTATCTTGTGGCCTCCTGCCATTGCGGTTATTGACGCCGACAGTTTGTACGAGGCCGTGACCCGGGTGGAATACGACGGGTCCTTCTCCGAAGAAAGCCATTTTATTGCTAACTCGGGGGGGAATGGAATGACTAACAAATGCTAACAGGTGAAGAGCAGTTGATTCGAGCGGAGGAGCAGGTGAATAACACTTTTAGGAGGGTTGGGATGTCACTGCTAGTCTTGCCCGCACTTATTCTCAAGAACGGATCCCTTTCTTTCCTTCGTGAGGAAAAAAGGTTAAAAAAAAAAAGCAACTTTTAGCGTAATTCAAGATTTATTTGAGGTGCGGTGTGGACATGAGTTTTGTTTAATGTGGATAGTTGAAAGCAACGCTCCGATTTGGGTGTCGGTTACAATTTTCTAGTTCAGTGGGTTCTTATGATGTGTCGAGGTTATTATGGATGTTAGTCTCGACTGGACTCTTCGACGCTCGTTTCTTGTGCTTGTTCAGGTGGTAGACAAATATTATCAGACGAATCAAGTGGGTTTCTTTTCTAGATAGTAGATCGTAGCTGTGGCAGCAATAGAGTCAAGAAAGACGATGAAAGGAAAGTCTTTGGCAGGGGGGAAAAATCCAGCATTAAGTACGAGGGCGCCTACGGACGTCACTCTTGCTCAATCAAGCATGTTTGGTTCTTGTGGACGACAGTGGGAGGTAACGATGCTACCTAATAAGATGCGACTCCAAGTATAGACTTTCAAAAATGGAAATCTGGGGTAAACCGGAGAACCTGGGGTAAATCCCGGTATCCAAGGAACGAACCGTAGGGCTGATCTCATTTAACCTTACATTTTGAGCCTCATGAAATAGGCACAATAGGCTTGTAGCACTATCCATTCTCATAGATGTTTCTCTGACTGCAAGAAAAAAGAGGCACTTATTGGCAGAGTGCCTTTGTTTTCCGGTTTAAAACTTATGATGTTTCAGAAGATAGGGGGAGTCCCGGACTTGCGCTTCTGACGCTTTGTCCTTCGTTTTTCTTCCAAAGAACCGACGTCAGACCCCTGTTCAGAGTCCACCGGCTTGATAATTTTCTTCTTCCGGCCGGTATCCCACGGTACTTCAATAGTACCGTCCTGAAAACCCTCAGTTTTGGTCTTCTTCTTCGGTTTTGAAATACCACCGGGAGAAGAAGTGCTGCCTGTGGACGCCATACTGTCCCGTTTCCTCTTGTCAGGCTTTGAGCTCCTTTTTCGTCTCTGCTCTTCTTTGATTTCCAGTCGACGTTGAACTTCTTCGGAGATATCCTCTGTTTCCAGAGCCACCGGCGTCACATTCCTTACATCTTCATCACCACCCGGCATCATCATATCCAGTCGCTTGCGCTTCTGATACTGGACTGCTCCGACAGGCATGGTATCTGTGCTTTCGTTTTCCACTTCCATACTGTCGGATTCCACCCTAAACCGTTTCCTCCGTTCTTTTGAACGACTGCGTCGTCGTTTCGACGAATCACGACTAGATGACGTAGACGCCGTCCGGTATTCATTAGCTGTAGCAGTTGGTTTTTCTGATGATTCTCCAAAGTTTCCTGGTTCTGTCACAAGGTTACCTTGGTGAAGCAGTAACAGCGATTGTTCGGATTACAATACGTACTCGAAATCTGCCGGCTGTCTATTAGCATCATACATGGTCATGACTCAAAGAAAAGAAATTCTTCACACGAAAAAGCTATTCACCCCTAAAAAGAATGAAGAAAAAAGAAGGAAAAAAAAAAGAAAAAAAGAAAAAGAAAAAAGAAAAAAAAAGCCACAAGAAAAAACAAATTCACCAACCAATTGTTTCTTCACAACCCGAAACTGCGTCATCAACCTATTCGTCTTCTCGATCATCCCCGACACCATTTGCAACGCGTCACCACTAGGCACATTATTTCGAACGAGATTCAACATTTCCATATGTGACGACAGAACGGATTCATGCTGGGCGCAGATCTGCAATGAAATTCAGACTCCTTAGCGATCAGGCTCGACATGATGGATATCGTGCGTCATTCACGCGGGGAGATCTTCGCGCACCTCCGGCCATGATATTCGATTGCGCGGGGCGGTGGTTTCGGTAGTATGGGGCTCTGTATAGTTTTCTTCGTTTTCCTCCTCCACGGTCGGGTTTAATGAGGGACGATCGGCGTTTTGCGACATTGTGATTTGGGGACCGCACGACATTGGGGTTGACTTTTAAGATGGGAACTTCTGTGGCGCGTTTGATCGGCGGGTGGTTTTTGAGTTTCTCCGCGCCAAGAATAAGCTTCTGGATTCTGCACAAGCTTCAGGTACGGGAGGCGCAGGGGCCAATCATCGCGGTGGGATTTGTTCATTCCTCTTCTAGATTAATTACTGGGATTCCTTATGGTACGTCAATATAGATCTACATGTCCATATATCTAGTAAATCCTCTATTGGCCGTACTACATTTGGATACTCCTAAGTTTGACGATCCTAACTACACCATGTGGGAAATATTAATGGTGTTATACAGCACATTCAGTCAAATATATATTGATGCGACTCCTTCCCAGACAACGACTGTATATTATAAATGCAGGAAGCATTCCAGGTGGACTGAGTATATTCACTTGCACGCTTTTCTAACATTCCTTAACTAGCAAATGTAGAGGTGGCTGTGTTGTTTTCTCGCGAATGATGCCAATTTGAGGATTATCGGACCCGATACTAGAAACGCCATTATCTAGATTACCACATTACACCCTATATGAGGCAAGAAGATATTGGGGTGAGAATCGTCTTTGTGATAACAGGGTTTGATGGACTGTTAATTCATACGGAAAATTATCCAGCCGCTTTCACTCGGCAACCTCAACAATCAACTTCGTACAACTCACTCCCCGGAGCAGCTTATCCAACCCAGCATTGATAGCCCCCAGCCCCTTTCCCACGACGCTCGGCTCCGGACTCGGTGTAATGGTCGCCTTAACCAGATTCTCCCTCAACCACGTCCCAATCCAGTATTGGAACTGCTCCAGCCTCTCCCCTTCCACCATCGACGGCATCACAAATATTGTCTCTACCCCATTCACGACCTCCGCATCTGGAGGAACAACGGGTGCTGACGCGATTTTCGCAGTGATCGTCTTATTCCTTTCTTGGTCTTCTCCAAGAAATGCCTTAAGCACAGCCTGACATGGCGCCAGCTGCCCGGTAGCCAGAAAACAATACCGGATCACCAACCCGTCCTCCTTGGCTGCCGAAACGATCGCATCCACAACTTGTGGGTCTTTATAGTCGAACACACGGTCCGCACCCAGTGAACTCACATAACTCTTATTTGCAGATCCAGCGGTAGCGTATACGGCTGCGAAAGAAGAGCTGGGGTCATCCTGAAGCAGTCGAGCTGTTTGTACGCCCATGGTACCGACACTTGAGGAGGCACCCCAGATTAGGAGCGCTTCTTTTTTCCCTGGGGTATTCTTTGCTGTGACATCTCCCATCCGGGGGATCCCCATGGCATCCCACGCGCTGAGGGGTACCTGGACGGCGACGGGCAAGGTTGCCGCGCAGTTCCAAGACATGCCCTCGTCCGGAAGGGGCACAGCATGCTGCCAGGGGACGAGACACCGCTCCTGAAATGGGCCGTAGTCTGGATCGCAAGACTTCCAGACAGAAGCGGCGTAGGCGGCGACGCGGGTGATACCCGGTCGGAAGGAGGTAGCCGGGACGTTGTTGCCGATCTCGAGGACTAACCCTGACATGTCAAAGCCAATGACCGTTGGGTATGTGGATATGAAAAGGCCTTGGCCACGCATGATGGCATCTGCCGGGTTGAGGGCTACAGACTTGACGGCGATGAGGAGCTCGTCTGGTCCTGGTTTTGGGGTAGGTCTGGTTTGGAGTTCAAAAGGTTGGCCGTTGGCCGGGGAGACAGCGGCGAGGTGGGTAGCCATTTGGAGGGTTTGTGTAGGTGGAAGTTTTCATGTCAGGGTTTTATGATTCTGAGAAATAGTATTGAGGAATGATTCTCTTCTTATACCGTTAAGCCATCATTTCAGACTATTTCTTTTGATATCATCCTCCGTTGGTTATAGATGCTTACAGCCAATCACAGACCTCGGCATCCGAGGAGGAGTTAGCGTGGTTCCGAAACAAGATTAGCGTGTGGGGGTGACTGGGACGATGTTGAAACCTTATGTCCTTCCACTGACTCCATTAAATCCCTCACAGAATTATGATTATTAACGAAATATGGAGGTTCCCGACCGGAGGACTAGGCGGAGATCGAGGTTTGGCTGCCGAAATTGCAAGCTAAGAAAGCTCAAGGTGGGTGGCTCTTTCTAGACTGCCAGTGCTTAGCTGAACGAATTTCCTTGGCCACTTAGTGCGACGAAGGCAAACCCCATTGCAAGAGGTGTAGTTCATTCGGTATATTATGCAACTTCATGTCGAATATCCCCGACCTACAACCTATCGCCGCTGATATAGGGAGTCCATTGGTGGTTCATGGAAAAGCAACCCTTCAACCTCCTATCGCCAGTGCTGTCTGGACATCTGACGAATTCACATCATATCATTTGAACGCCAAGTGTCAGGATTTCATCACCCGGTATTATGCACGAAGTATCACTATCCCAGATGACCCTAATATGATACACGTTAATCGCAAGCTGCTAAGACTAGCTTTTACCGTAAGTCTGATTAAATTGATTCTGTCACCGTCCGACAGAATTGAACTCCGCTAACATATTGCTTACAGTGCCCTTTTCTAATGCACGCCTCGCTCGCTGTGGCACTTACTTATGACCGCCATATGAATAGCTCATTAGGATGTCGTCGCAGTCTAGAAGAGTGCTATCACTGGTCTCAAAGCACAGTTCTTCTCAACAGGCGATTAAGGGAACCGATTAACGCGAAGGATAAGGATCCAATCTGGGGCACTGCAGCCGCTCTGACTATCTTGTCCTTTTCATCCCCTGATGCACGCACCGCAGAAGAATCATGGCCTTTAAAGTCCTCTGACCAGTCCGATGTAGACTGGGTACGTATGAGCCAGGCGAAAATGTCACTGTGGCACATAGTCAACCCGCTACGACCGGACAGTCTTTTCTGCGTGATGGCGGCGACCTTTGCTCAGATGCAGTCACCCCTGCCAGAGAAGGGCATAGATGGTATACCAAAGGCCTTGGCTGCCATATGTCTTCTCAACGACTCATCTACGGCGAACAATAGCCCGTATTTCGATGCTGCTCACGCAGTGTCCCAGATCCTGGACCTTCCGGATAGCGAGGTCACAACAGGTCAAACTCAACTCTTCATGCGTAGTATTCATGGCACTTTCGAAGACTTGCTCCGGAATAAAGACCCTGTAGCCCTTTTATTGCTGTATCTGTGGTACCGCAAAACAAGTTGCAGTATATGGTGGATTGAACTTAGGGCCAGAGTGGAATGTCCTTCTATTTGCTCGTACCTACGCTTATATCACAAAGGGAATGCTGCGGTACAGGCATTCCTTCCAGGTGGTGCACTCGCCGATAGTTGGGTTTAGTTAGGGCTTCCTCCAATATCACCACGTACCTCACTCTGCACGATGTTACTATGGCTTTTCAGGTTTATTGGCGTGTAAATCCCCCCATTTCAATAGAGCGATGAGCTTAGTGCTCTATGATCCTGCCACAGAGTCTCTGGTATCGGCTATTAATGTTGGCTATTACTGTTGATCGGGGAATCCGTGAGTAACCCGCGGACTTTTTGGCCGAGGCCCGACCTCGAATGCGGGCAGCCCTGCTCCCCGCCTATCTTTTCACCTAAAGTCGATCAGTCTTGACCCCACAAGATATAGGCAATCTGGATGAGATATATTAATGTATGGATGCCCTCGATGTTGATTGTTGATTTCTACAACTGAACTCTTTCCCAAAGGTAAGCCTGGGACTGAACTTCATTGTACTGCATTGGTCTAAACAACTCTCTCCTTTGGCCACGATTATATAACATAGTGGAGACTGCTGCTCTGTCAGTGATTTCAAAAGATACTCTCTGGAACTCACAGTTTCACCATGCCTTCTCACCGGTCGACTGAAGACGCCACAGACTACTCTGTCCCTGCAGAGACAAGAAAGGTCCTCTATGAAGAGATTCTTCAAAACAACCTGCACAAAGACCTGCCCCATGGATTACTTGACGCTGCTGCTCGCATCAAGTTTATCGGGTCTGATGCTCCCAGCATCCCTATCAATTGGAGATTGGCGGAAAGCATCGCGTCCTTGAAAGGCTTTGAAGGCGCCATGCTTAGTGTTCTCCTCAAGCGGAAATATGGCGTGGACTATCCCGATATCGTGATAGATACGTATGCCGAGCCCTCGCATGGAAGATGTTGCAATAGTATGATGTAGGATTAAGAGCTAATTATGAACTTGCTCAGTGACCAGGCACAGTTATTCTTCATGTCAGCATTTATTACGATCATCGACCCTGATGGAAAAGCTATTGAAACTTCTTTCAAGCTTACTACCGATGCTGAGAAAGCTAAAGAGTTTGATAAGCTCTTTCCCTCGTGGGATGTTAACAAGACTCATCGTGATATCTATCGATCTTGCGTCACAAATATCTATGAAACTAAAGACAAGCGCTGGTTTCACCTACATGGTAATGAGTCAATATCCCGGTAAAGTGGCACTTGCGATGAAGTATCATCGACTAATATATGGTTTAGCCAGCCTTAATGCCAACCCCACCCTCGACAGTATTGGTTTCCCTCGTTGGAGACCGGACCTCCAGGGCAGACCCCGAGAAGACATTCTTGCGCTTTACATGGATCGCTTGAAGGAGATTGAATCCCAAGATATGGAGCATCGTGCATCCGAGATATACGGTCAGGCAGGTACTATCTGTTGGTCAACGGAAGAGTATCTGGCCAGTGAGCATGGAAGAGCCAACAGTAAGGTCGGTCTCTATGAGATTCACCAGCACATAAATCCCACTCAAGTGCCATGCTGGTGGCCATCTTCACCCGAAACCAGTGCCAAGAGGCCTCTAGCTGGCCTAAAGGTAGTTGATCTGACAAGAGTGATTGCTGGCCCTTCCATTACTCGTTCCTTAGCGGAGATGGGTGCAAGCGTCATGAGAGTTGTCGCCCCACACGTCGCAGACTTGTCTATTGTGCACCCAGACCTCAACTGGGGTAAATGGAATTGCTTCCTTGACCTTCGGAAGGAAGGAGACAGAGAGAAACTACGAGCATTAATCTCCGATGCTGATGTTGTAGTTTCAGGATATCGCCCAGGAGTCCTTGACAAATGGGGATTCTCCCACGACGACATCCTGAGCATCACCAAAGAGCGCAAGCGCGGCCTCATCTATGCGCGTGAAAATTGCTACGGATGGTACGGCCCATGGTCTCATCGAATTGGTTGGCAGCAAATCAGCGATGCCAATTGCGGTGTCTCTTTGGAGTTTGGTCGAGCGATGGGACTCGACGAAGCCGTTACTCCAGTTTTCCCGAACTCTGACTACTGTACTGGAGTCTGTGGCTCAGTCGGTATCCTGGACGCCTTGATGAGGAGAGCTGAACAAGGTGGTTCCTATACCGTCGAACTTGCGTTGAACTACTACTCTCAATGGCTAGTCAAGTCTGTCGGCGTCTACCCCAAAAGTGTGTGGGAGAATGTTTGGTCCCTTAATGGTCGCAAGGTTTTCCGTCATTTCCAAACCATGAGCAGCTTGATTCCAGCTTATGTCGACATGCTCAAGACAAACAGTGCGGATCGCGTGTTCCGTGCAAACAACTTCCATTCTCTTCATAGCAAACATTTGGGGGTGGATATTACGAGTCCCAAGCCCGTGCTTCAGTTCCCGGCAAACGAGGTAGACCTGAGATACAATGTTGGTACTCGAACCAATGGAGTGGATCAGCCCAAATGGCCTGAGGATCTCAGTGTCGAGACGGTAGCTTAGCTCTCTCCTCTCTTTAACCAGTTCCTATTTTTCCAGTTCCCAGATACCTCTGTATTTGGCTGGGAAGCTATTTTCAGCGGATCTTTGCCCTAAGTATATTAGTGACTACCAGGGAGTCAGTTATCTGCAATTCTTACCTTCAGAATTATCGAAGCTCTACAAAGTAAATCGTAACTGAGTCTCATATAAGGTTGGAAACGATTTGCATAGATAGTCAGTTATATGACTGGTTGGCTCAACAAGATTCAAATTCCTCGGCCTCTGCCCTCTTTGGGGATATGCCTTCGAGAAAACCCCTACCCAGTGACCTGTCTTTGCCATTTCGATGCATGTTGCTCACTGTCATCTGTCTGGAAGCGAATCTTTCCCACTGGGTGATGAGGTCTTAGGGTGGTGCATACATTCTGACATCAAACTGCTGGGCTTCCAGCCCTGTAGTCAGCCGTCGTTGAGATTGCGGGTACTCTCAAGGTCCGTTCTAGGATTACGCGGACAATGCAAGCCATGGTGAATTGGCACTGCACTGATTTGACAAGAAACCGTTAGTGCGCAGCTCAGCCGAGCTAGCTGGTGACTGAGAATTGATTGGCTAGGTATATTATATCCGACGTACCGCCGATCAATGTCAGGCATGCTGTGGCGATGCGAATATCCTTTGCGGTGGTGTTTCATCAGTGACCGAGATGAATACAGGAGTGTCTCTATAGTCGATTCGTAGGAGATCTGGTTAGGCCATATCCAAGGAAGGGGGATAATCTCATACCTAGGCAAAGCCGTAACATCCAAGTTATGGAGGGCGAAGCGGGGTAGCGTTTACTGTTCTCTTGTTTTTTTTTCCTCCTTTGTCCGTTTGGCCTCAACCTGGAAGTGAAATTTACTCGCAGTTGACACAATCTAGGGTATGTATACAGACACAGGAGCCTCATAGCCCTGTTGTATGTATATTAGTAGATCCAGCTTGACATCCTTGAATAAAGACTGGAGGGGGTTCACAAACTTATTCGGCGGGGCATATCGAATAACTAACTCATTTACAGCCTTGCGACGAATGCAAAGGCGAGGCTGAGCCCCAGACCGGTTTTTCTTTTGTTTTCCTTACTTTTCTTTTCTTTCTCTTTTTTTTTATTTCCTTTTAATCCCAATCTCCCCTCCTTATTGCTGTGGGAATCTATTAGATAAATTATCATCATTTGACTTACCTGTTTCTTCCTCTCAACTTTGATCTCTAACATTGGAGCAATATATAATATCAATACCTTAGTAAAAAGAAGGCATGGCTGACCCACTTTCCTTAGTCGCGTTCGGCTATACAGTTGTAAAGGATCTCTGCAGGCTTGCCAGAGGGATGAAAAAGGCTTGTAAAGAGATACATCATGCCAAAGCAGATCTCCACAAAGTGATCGAACGAACGAAAACAGTGGCCGAGACATACAGATTCTTTCTGGACACAATGAAACAAGCGAGAAAAATTCATGAGCTCCAGCGAATGTTTGACAAGTATGATAGCCTAATTAACAGAGTCGACGGGGAGTCCAGCGCAACCGTTCAAAAGCTGAAGAACGTGAGGAATATTTTCTCACCTCTTGGACGGAAAGGCCCAATTCGTCCCACTGAGAAGTGGATGGCACAAATCAGGTGGTATCGAAAGGGCAACAAGACTATTCTTCCTCTGTTCCAGGATATGAATGTCTTGGAACAGTCGATGAGAACAATCGGGATATTGGTGCAAATTCACATACTTACACAAATCCATCCTGACGCCCTATCGAATGAAATTTTGGCTCACACGTAAGCTAGAATCAATCAAACTTCGTGTGTCCCACTAACTATTGTCTGTAGGAAATGGCTCGAGAAAATGCTCAGTATTGAAACTGACAAGCTGCGGCGCGCTCAAAGGTCCCAGGAAAAGTTACTGACACAACATATGGTCGCCCCAAGGCATGATGCTAAGCTAGATGACTTCGCTCAAGCTATACTTAGATTGTTGGAAAAAGAGATTCCTCGTCTGTTTATGAATAAACCTCCCGGTAGCCCACCAACTTCTGATTCACGATCCCCACCAAGCTCACCAAACGCTTATCAACGCTCCCCAATCACACCACCCTCATCGCCTCCTTGTCCAAATGGAGGAATTAGAGGATCAGCAGTGAGGCTGCAACCCAAGGAAATGTTGTCACCCTCACTCGAAGGCCCTCGGCGAAGCGTACGCCAAACAAGAGATCCCGTAAGCTAAGTGCCCCGTGCAAGCCCTGCTGCGTATATTAATCTATTACTGTAGCCACTATCGACCACACGAAGTCTTAGGGGAGTAGAAGTTGACGCCCAGGAGGAGGTGCCCGATGACAAGGATAGTAAGGAGCAAACAGGCCCATACATGCCAATGCCGCCCTTTGGCCTACCAACATTAGCCCCTCGCCCACGGGCGGGGCGAACTTGGGACAGCGGCGATGACTTTATACAATCAGAATCTCGTCCACCACCCACTGCGAGCCGAAGCTCACTGCAACGAAATGGAGGGCCCTCTTCGTCGCGGGCGAACAGACAGAATGGCAGTATCATATCGGTATATGGCAATGACGGAGAGGTCACACCCACTCATCTAACGGGAGGTCTTGGGCTACAATCAGGGTACGAAAAAAAGAAAAGACATGGTCGGGGATTGAACAAAACATGATAAGTGCGTCTTCAATTTGGTTAGTTTTCTTTTGCTCTCGGTATAGTTCATTCTAGTGTGACTTTATAAGTCCGATGTATATAAATTCACCATGTGTCCGCAATAAATGAGATGCTGTTATTTTTACCTGATCAGGTTAAACGGCTACTACCATTGGGATTTCAGCTACAATATCCACCGCTGATTTTCGGATATCGATATCGCTATATCACTGCAATGCCCAGCAGCAACGTCACAGCATCTCGAGGCGGGCCCAAAGGCCGAGCAACTCGACATTGACTTAATGGTCACTACTACTGGGACTGATTTTAGGCACGTCCACGGTGCAACTGAGGATTTGTTTGAGACTTCGTTTTTGGTGCAGGGCTCATTGGGATTACTGGCTATTTGCATGGCTTGTCAAACACCCACCAAGGGACATCATGGCTCGCATTACTTTGTTTTGAAGAATCCCCAATTGTAGAAGCTTTGATCAAACCAATATAAAAGACTAGAGAGGAAATCTCACGGACAAAAAGAAGACCCCGACCGAGACGAGACTCGAACTCGCAAACCTTTGGTACCGGAAACCAACGCGCTACCATTGCGCCACTCGGCCGATTGGTGCGAGTTTGAAGATAGAATTCGAATGCCGTGAAAAGCATATGTCTTCAAGCGCGGACAATCTACCCACTGTTAGAAAGGCCCAGATTGGACTGCCGTGTGTTCCTTACACTAACTAAAACCTGACCCTCTCAGATTTACCGGTCATATTAGAGATAAAACTATGGCCAAAGCAGTAAGGAAGCACATCCTAAAGAAACTAGGGGAAGGCTGTACCTCATTCCAGCGGACCGTTGATACTAAAGTGCAACAATGCCCCCTCAAGAAGTTAATAGATCCTAAGGCTACTATCCATTGAACTGATCCACTTAGTATGAGTACGGCCAAGGCATACTGATGCGAAATATAGCTCTGACCTGCCGCGGATGGAATACTACACTCTTGGCAGGCGACTTTAGGCGTACCGTCCTGCAGATCTTCCTATCAACATACTTTTATATTGTCAAGCGGACCAACCAGAGCATACGAATCTAAGGGGTCATTGCCTGTCTTTGGGGTATCCAACTCTTGGTCTTTAAGAGCGCTCCTAGGGATATCTAGTGCCAAGAACCAGGCGAGACATATTTATAAAGCTAATCCTACTCTAACAACCCTGACAGGGTAGAGTAGTGAAATTCAGTATGGAATATAAAAGGAGGCGAGTATTCCCTTATACCCCACTTCTACTATTAAGCTCTTCTGCTACAAGCCATCTACTACAAGCCAAAGCCATTCTTCTCTATTGACTTTTCTCCCACCAACACAATGATCCGCACCAGCATCATTAAAGCCACTTCTCTGAGTGGTATCCTGTTTGCCGCCACCGGAGACTGTGGCCAGATCCTTAACGCTGTCTAGTCTTCTTCAACTTTCTCGACCGTCGGTGGTCGCGGCGGCAACCATCATGGCTACTCCGATGGGTTTGCCCTGCTTAAGGAGGATGGCGGACAGGTTTTCTCCGACCCAACTCCCGGCGGCGGCACTCCATGCACATAGAGCCCTAGCACGACCTTCTATCTTACCGGCGGATGATTTCCTGAGGGGGTCCAGTTCAGTTTTAATTGCGTGTCCGATTTCGTGGGAATGCCAGACCACTGCGCGGTCTTGGATGTTAACGGTAACGAACTCTCCAGTGCAGATGGTAATTCGAACTTCAATTTTATTGGTATTGCTATCGCTCAGGATGGATTCTGCGGTACCTCCTTTGAACTACCTGAGGGCGCAGACTGCCAGCCAGGCGTCACTGGAATCAAGGCTACCCTAAACCCTCAACCAACGAGGGGAGAACCTGCCGAATATGATCCTGTTAAGGGGATACCACGGGAGGAAAGAGGCTATACGAAAGAAACAGAGCAAAAGATGGCCCAATTCTAAACAGGATGGTGAAGTTGAAAACCTGCAATCTTCAGTGACAATTGGATCAACTACTGAATGGATAAATTCCGATAGGATTCTCTTAATCTTTTGTAAAGCTATCGCAGCCATGTATATACTATCCACTATTGGTACCACGATTAGAACAAAACTATGCGTGCAAGGTCAAGAGTGGACTGTAATGGCTTCCTGATATTTCCTTTAATGATATTTGAAAGGAGTAACGTAACAGACGTGCGTCGCTGGCGAATCAAGGTAGGGCTTGACTAGGTTGGTGTCACAGCAATATATGGCTGATAGAATTATAAATTAAGACTCAGATAGAAAAATACAAAGCTTTATGAATAGATTTAATTATATCTATATTCTGATGAATTGGGAATCAGCCTGATACTCATCTTGGATATCAAGCCTGTCAACTAATAGTACCGCTATATCGGAGGTCCAATATATGTATCGGACTTGGAGGGTTCCTGGTACAATCCCTCCCCATTTGCTTGATTATCTGGCTATTACAGGTTCTCGTATATTTCATAAGTTATATGAGTGTCTCTGCGTTCCACAATGATCCACTTAAATGAGAACTTCCTCGTGGGGGCGATGGAAGTTGTTGATTATTTGGACGCGCTACGTGTGGTGCCAAGAGGTTATAATTTAACAGTTTGGACCCACTATTGTCAAGTTCACAATAACTGAGCGAGAGCAAGTCCAAGGCCGGGTAGATTGATCACTGTCATTGTGTCGGATTGTAGACTCGGTTTGCATGAACTCCAGTGCCTTTCTGAGAAGTTCTTTATAGGTACTTGATCTAGTAAACAGTACACTCCTTCATTCTTCAGATAGGCCGTTAACCCCACACGGGCCACACCAACCAACAACAACTCTGCTTGTAATATGATTGGCGGGCACTGTGCATATACGAGGTCAATCATTTACCGAGCAGGCGATCTCTGATGGTTAGCCACAATCCCAGCCTCGTCTGCCGAGAGAGGCTCAAACAGAAGAAGCCACTGTCCCGCACCTCTACTTCTCGCGATAGTCTATTCCGTATATTTCCAAGATTTACGGATAGGAGCTGCTATGCCCTCGAGGAAAAAGATCGGCCTATGGGCATGGGCTCGGTCCTTAACTTCAACTCCACGCTATTATGGCGCGACAGGTGACGACCCAGACAAAACAGAGCTACTCACAATCCCCAGCCAGCAATCGGTTGCTTCCGCTTCAAAAGTTGAAACTAGAGAAACAGGTCCCATAAACGACCCGACACTTGCTACACCTTTCCTGGAGGAAGCGGTAACTAGCAGCATCAGCAACAGCTCAGCGAATGCGGCTGAGGACAACAGTTCTCAAACCCGGCGACCCACTTGGATCAAAGGCGTATACCTTTGCGCAAATGCAACTGTCGGTCTACTGCTACTGAATACCGTACTCATTTCCGTAGCAGGCGGGCTGGCATCGAAGTACACAGGCTCTGGAGGATCTTCCAACTCCAAAGTGGTCTACGAAGGCAGCTGCGTCATAACAAGTCGATGGAACACGGCATTCCATTTTATCATCAACGTTATTAGCACCTGCATTCTGGCGGCAAGCAATTACTGCATGCAAACGCTTGTCGCGCCAACCAGAGACGAAATTGATTTGTTCCATGCAAAGCGTCGCTGGTTGGATATTGGCGGTTCTAGCTTCAGAAATCTATTTGCCATCCCGCTTAGCCGTCTTGGGCTCTGGTTGATTTTACTCATCACGGCTACACCGTTCCATTTACTGTACAACTCTGTCATTTTCGAAAGTTTGTCATATAATGAGTATTGGTCATTTGTTGCACCATCCGATTTCGATGCTCAAATTGTACGGAACCTGACGACTCCCGCGTTGGAGAATTGCTTTCGAGCTGATGTCACTTCCGGATCAAACGATATCAACAGCGCCAAAAGCATGGATTGGGATCAAATAATACATATTGTTATGGGAGAAAGGAGCGAGAAAATTTCCCCTGAGCAATGTTCCCGCTATACCGGTACAAGCTCTTATTACCCATCGGGGTACAAGGGCCTTATTTACCTTGCGAGTGATTTGGCTATGGAAGATGGAGGCGATATCGCTGTACTTCGGTCTACAGGCACCTCTCGGACTCAGTCAGTTTATGCTGCATCGTTTACCAATCCGAACCCCTCAACTACAACATCTGATGAATGCGCCGGTCCTCTTAGTCGTTCTACGACTCATAGTCTCAGCGGGTGTTTGGCGTTTGAGGGTAAGAAAAATTGCCAACTACTTCTCAACCCTCCCATTGCTGTGATTATTTCATTAGCTACGCTGATGAAGGTAGTTGCAATGTTTCTTGCAGCTCATCTTCAACGGACTCGAGCACCTCCTCTTCTTACAACAGGCGACGCAGTTGCGTCATTCCTAGAAAGACCTGATGATACAACGAAAGGGATGTGCTGGGCGTCACGACGTTGCATTGAGAAGGGTAACTGGAGACCCTCTTCCGTACTGTCGACAGGCCAACCACCGTCTAGAGAATATAGATACCTATCACCGCCCAGGCAATGGAGAAAAGCATCTAGCCCTTCTCATTGGGCAGTCACCTCAATAATGTGAGTGTTCAAAAACTCTAACGTAAAAGATTAGCCAATCCTGAAAGCTAACCTGGCCTAGCTTTGTTATAGGTATAGGAATGGGCATTGGTATGCCTGCCGTCAAATTACCTGACGCCGTTCGCAACCCTCAAGGTCTCTGGAATTGGGAAAGCAACGTGAAAAGTACCGCGAATTTTGCGTATGGTAACTATTCGGAGATGGAGGGCGTGGTGATAGCAAACAGCGTTCAACTAATAGTCACGGTCGGCTACTATTTCTATAATAGCGTGCTTACCAGCATGCTAGCATCGGCTGAGTACAGTTCCTACGGGGCAGACCGGAAGGCACTTCGAGTTACTTGGCCCGCCAAAGGCAGCCAGCAACGCTCGACCTACTGGCTGAGCGTTCCCTATAAATACGGCATCCCAGTCATAATCCTCTTCATGGCCAACCACTGGTTCGTTTCACAGGGCTTCTACTACGTCCTAATGATCCCGTATGGCACGGATGGTCAGCCCCTATATGGAAACAAGGTCAGCTCGGTCGGGGCCTCAGCCCTACCCGTGTTCATTGCTGCCTTAGTTGGTGTTTTCCTGTTTCTATTCTTGCTGTCTTTGGCGTTTCGCAGGCTTAAGTCAACTATACCACTAGCGGGCTCCTGTAGTGCTGCTATCAGTGCCGCCTGCCACCCGCCTGAGGACGTTTGTACCGCCACTGTAGCCCACGGGGAGTTGTTCTGGGGAGAGACTACTGGCCTACCACCTGATTGGGTTGACGATCAGAGTGACGGATGTGATCTTCCAAAAGGACATTGCAGCTTTACTCCACTAGATGCACGATTGCCTTCCTTAGACAAGTTGTATTCTTAGATTTTTTTTTTTTTTTTTTTTTACCTAGCTACTAGTTGCAAAGAATTACATAGGGTTCTCCGAAAAGCCATCAGCACAAGGCACTCCCGTATTCAGATCTACTCAGTGAGCAAGAAGCGATGAGGGGTGAGCACTAAAATAGAAAGATAATGTCTGTAGCCTGTCTAAAGAATGGAAGTACGGTACATGTGTAACTATGTTCGAATAATCTCATTATTTGGTATCTAGACACAATCCTCCAGTCCGGATCTGTCCCATCGTTATCCATGCTAGTTTCCCAAGACGCCATTAAAAAAAAACAATCGACCCCGACGACTAAACAAAGAAGGCTTAATACTTATACAAGCTGCGCTAACCATACCCAGAAATATGAAGTTTACCATGCACCCGCATCGAAATCAAAACGAGAGAGTTCCTTCTGTGCATCTTCGACGTCCTTCTTTGCTTTCATGCGCATATAGAAAATCGGACAATCTCTGGACGAACAGATGACTTCGCAGTGCAAACTGCCCTGGCAGCGCTGGCACTGGGTCCACAGCCGCCCAAACCGGACCTCAAGATCTGATACTTTCGTCAACGATCTCGTATACAACTCGCCAAGCCGCGGCTGACAGTTCTCGCAGACAGCACCGGCCAATTCAGCCTTGCCCGAAAGGGGCTTCTTGCAACCCATGCAGGTTGCGGTTTTCTTGGCAAACTTCATAAGCCCACCCATAGTCGGTGCGGCTACTGAGATGGACCGCGTATGCTCGCCGGTAAGAAGCTGACCGGCCTTCTTCTCTCCAAGAATGGGCTCGAAGATACGACCGAGAGGGTTTGCCAGTTGATTGTCTAGGTAATACTTCGTGTCGATAGGGATGTTGTTCTCAAGAACATAAATAGGGTCCTCCGACTTCTCGTAGTTCTTTGAGCCACCAGCACCCTTGACAATAACGTATGCAACACGGTCGCCAAGGGTAGGGGCAGAACCCGCATCACGCTTTTTCATGCGCTCAGCAAGTTCTACGTGTGCTTGCTTGGCCGCATAGTCGTGCTTAGCAAGGGCCTTTGTGATCACAAGCTTCGACATATCGACCTTGTTTTGTAAGAGGTCAGAAATTGTTTCCTTGACATACCTAGAGTCACGTTAGTTGTTATGCTATAGTAACGCTACAAACTAAAAACGCCAAGTGTGGATGGAAACTTACTCTTGGGCACCATCAACATCTCTATCAATCAAGATCTTGTGCAGCACCGTCTCAATAACATTTTGCACCAGTAAACAGTTGTCACGACGAACAGTCTCAATACCCTTAGTGTCCATCTTATCATATTTGTCGGTTTTCGTCCAGTATAGGCCAGCGTATCTTTTCTTGTTTATGAGGAGATACGGGAAATACACCTTTTCGAACTCAAGCTTGATTGGCTTCAGGAATTTCGAGGAGACATATTCCGAAGCCTCCTGTCCAAGCTTCATGGCGTCCGCTAGCTCCGAGACGCCAAACTTGACCATGACGGAGTCGGTATCACCATAGATAACTTTTGCATCATGAGAATAGCCATTCGCAATGGTGTATCGTGCTTCCACTTCCTGCTTCGTTTTTTCGATCATTTGACGCCCGTAACTAGTGGTGCTACTTGCAATAGGCAAACATGGCAATTTGCCAACCGTTGCACCCGTAAGACCGTAAACACTGTTGGCACTGATCTTAAGCGCAAGCTGTCTTCCGTTCAAGACAGCCTTCTTGAATGGATCTGTTTCAATCGCCAGCTCTTTCTTCGCTCGCTTTCTTGCTGCAAGCAGTTCTTCTAAAATTTGGGATAAAAGACCCTTGCGGACCTTGGCTGTGCAGAACAAGTCTCCATTAGGCGTCACAATGTAGTCTTCATCCTTTTTTAAATTGTACCTCTCAATGGCCTTCTTGTTCAATAATGTTGTGTAACATAGATTATGGGCTTGGATGATGGAAGGATATAGGGAGGCAAAATCCAGAGTTGCAATTGGAACATCGTAATAGCCTCGAACTGGTTCGATGACAGTAGCACCTTCGTATTCCTGTTCACTTTCCGGTGTGTTGTTTGGGATGACCAGTTGTTGTTCCAGGGCCTTTCGGAATAACTGACTCATGAATTTGACTTGTTGGCCTCGCGATAAAAGGAAATTGAACGGAACACCCGTCACTCTTGCCATCTCTGTATAATTAACGAGGCACATGAGCTTATCCATTAATCTCTGAGGTAGATAGGCATCCTTGAGACAGTACACGGCAAGACGTCGCCTTGAGTCGGGGGTTCCGTTATGCAACTCAGTGATCATTGTGTGGTGAACATCCTCTTTCTGTTCACCCAGAAACTCGTAGGACACCGAGTTCAGTGTGTAACTTCTCAGATGGTAGTCTCTTTGGACTAGTTGTAAAAGGTCCAGTTGGATTCTTCCGTTTGTATTGGTCGCCTTTGTATCACGGTTGCCCATCTGTTTGCTAGAGAAGTTCGTCGCACTAGCTTGAGACATAACTCCGTTTAACCTAGTCCAGTAAGGAAATCCAGTACACTTCAAATGTTTTGCTCGATCCAGGAGATAAGGAAAATCGAAATTGGCAATGTTATATCCAATAATCACGTCAGGGTCAACTTTCTCCACGAAATCGCGCCAGGCCATAAGCATTTTTTCTTCTTTTTCAAACTCCAGGATTTGGGTGTTGACAATCAGACTACACGTATCCAAAACAAATACATTTCGGATGAAAGGCTTGGACTCTCCATAGCGAGTCACGACATTGGCGATCTGGATGACAGGGTCTTGGTTCGGTTCTGGGAAAATACCCTTTCGTCCAGCGCACTCGATATCGAAAGATAATATACGGAGAGGCGCCATTTTAGCCCATTCACCATTAGGTGGGTGGGCGATAAGGTCGTGGTAATCGACAACAGCTTCGATCTGACAATTGGAATGTTTTTCTTTCTGGTGAAGAAGCCGGTACTTTCCTGCCTTGGCTTCAACCCAAGACATGCCGGAGATGTTCGTATCGATCATAAATCTCAAAAGATATTGGATGTTGTCAAAGGTGGCAATCTTTTCGATCCCCGTCCAAAGACCTTTGTAGTTCATGCTTTGGCCCCCGTTCTCCAAAGCGCCTCGCAGTTTGCTGATATACTTCGGCTCTGTGACGGTAATCTTCAGGTACCAGCTCTTTTGGTTCCCCTGATAGCCATAAATATTCTCCCTCAGAGTTACTTGAACCGACTGGATCATCGTCTGGAAATTACCGATTCTGCTTTCCAGGAATGCCCGATACGGGTCGCAGTCTTCCTTTGTAAAGTTCACGGGGGCGGCGATATAGAGATAGTGTTGGAAACCGGTTACATGCAGCAAAACGGATTGGCCAGCCTATACGGTGGTTAGAGCAGTTCGGACATCATCGACACCGCGCGAACAATACCTCAGTGACTCCAAACAATCTAACGGCCGGTTTGCCACCCAAGAGTGTTCCTTCTTCGGCATCAATCTGTTGGAAGCAGACATTCTCCTTCGTAGGGTCAAACTCCCCAAGTGGAGGCCGCTCCCATTGTTGGTCCTTCTCCGCATTACTATCCTTCAATTCATTGATATCTTGCGTCAATTTCTCAAGAACCTCCTCCTCGAATTGACTCTTCTGTAACTGACTCGAACCAGGCACCTTTCGTTGGCCATTTTGAACGGGCGCGTTGACTCTCGCGGATGGCTTGCTGTCGATTTTCCGTTTCTTACTCGCGTCCGGGGATTTCAGGATCCCGCGCGGATTATTCGATGCATCACCCAGAACCCGCTTCTGGGGCGTTGCGACAGCTTCGGGCATGGCGGAATGATCATAAAACCGCCACAGTAGGCCGATACTATCAATGATGAAACCTATGTGAAGTAGGGTTGGCGAGTTGTGAGAACTGACACATGGAAGCACTATCGGCGGAGTCGCGGGCAATTATGCTCCATTCATGCAGGTCGTGTCTTGTTCGCGCCGGACGTGACGCGTTAACTAAAGTCACGTGCTGATAGCGATTATTCCTTTCCTATTCCAACTACGGAGTAGAGATAGTGTTACGAGGTACGAGAGGCCAGGCCGAGGAACAATAGTCAATTTTGCTTTTTTCCTTATATACACAATAGACAGTTCTTTCGATATATGCTCCCCGTGTCAATACTGGTACTAATGGCTACAAAGTGGTACAATTGTCCTTGGTCCGATGACGTCATAACGGTACATCCCGTAGTTTCCTCTCCATTAAAAAGTGAAGTACTACAATTCGTATAAAGGTTAGCGAGACGCACGCCCAATTCAATCATTAAGTACTTATGGAGATGTGCAGTGGGTAGTTTTTGTGTATTGCTCATACAAATGCCGTGAAAGCCAAGAAAAAATTATTCGAACGGTGAAGTCATTGGTATCTTATTTGTAAACGAGATCAATATATAGAGTTGAGAAATGAGATAGATACAGTATGGGCATGAACTTTCGGTTAATTTATTTGAGAACATGATTTCGAAGGACGTCTGCAATATGCGTGAAGATGCTGTAAAACAGCCAGCGGCTCACATCTAGCTGTCTCCAACATAAGTGATAAACACGTTCCCTTCAGAAGGTAAGTCACACCCTTGGTGCACCGCTCGCCTCTGTCTTATAGATGTTGTTGTAACCATTGAGAGATTCTTGTGTCAAGCTTGCCATGTCTCTTCCTTGGAACCTAGTAGGATCCAGAGCCCGCCTGATAGCATCATCGACGGGCTGTTCTTCCAGGATTTGAGCCAAGAACTTTGCTGCTCCAGCTGCATGGGTAACCCACACCGCCGCTGCCATGTATAGACCCTCAATAGAGGGGATACTTCCTACCAACGGCATATTGTCCGGCGTCATTGAGAATATACCATTGAATCGTTCTCTAGGGACGAGCTTCGTCTCCTCCGGTATGAAACGCATGGCTTGGCTTAATGTGTCATCGAATTGCCCAATCCAGTCACCAATAGCAGTGTCCCTTGGCTCATTGAGAACCGGGGCATGATCATAAGAGCCCAAGCCGAAGAAAGAACCATGATCACGAGCATATACATGATGCTGTGGCCATCTCACCCAAGGTGCCTTGCGTAATTTTGGGGTGTGATGCTCGCCATACATATATGGATGCGCGACAGGTACGATCGGAATTGGAATGTCGAACTTGGAAAGGTGGGTTGCCCATATTCCTGTGGCAATAATGACCTTCTTCGCCGGGATGAGCCCCGATGTGGTCATCACACCATTCACACAGCCATTGGCCTGTTGGATTTCGGTAACGTCTGCTTCGATGAGTTCGACGCCCTTAGCTCGTGCGTTTTCCTGGTAAAACGAAGTTATTCTGACAGCGTTCGCAGCACCATCACCAGGAAAGTACAAGGCTATTTGGTTGTCGTCATTGACCAGATCTGGGGCTAGACTAGTTGCCTGCCCGGAGGATATCAATTCGGCGGAGAGTCCAGCCCTCTTCGCCATCTCACATCTCGATCTTAACCGGTCGACGCCTTCACAGCTAGTAGCAATTTCAAGACCTCCAACAACATCAAATCCTCCGGGTACCTTCGTATATTCTCTCACGGTTTCAATGGCGAGGTGTGTGAGAACCTCGGATTCATTGAATTGACCAACAAACCCGGGAGCATGACCTGTCGAGCCTTTCAACTCTGAAAATGACCGATCGATGAGAACCACTTTTTTATCGGTCTGTGATAAGAAATAAGCCAGCGCGGACCCCACAATTCCTGCGCCAACAATAGCAATATCAGACGTGGATTTTGAGGATTCCATTGTGTCTTGCTGCAGGTATTGAGGATTTCGTCCTCGGAAGCACAAGGAGAATGTATTCTGAAGGTCATGCATATCGTTTAAATATCAATAATCACGTTGTAAAAAACTGAAGTGGGGTGGCTTTCTTGGTATCTCGTAACCCGAACAGAATCAGGCCATGAACTATATATATCTACTAGTAGTTGTCCGTGTAGAATCACACCGGCAGTACCCGGGGGGAGGTGCCGAGGGTTGCCGAATATACACCGTGAAGAAGGATATGACGTCTGTCTAGGTATATCCACAACATTGAACAAAATAGCATCCTTTAGCCCGATCCCAGGTAAGTGTGGTCAAAATGTGGGGTGAAAAGGCACAGAGGATGGAGATGGTGGCCTAAGGCAGCGTGGCGGGTGTCCACTTTTGGGAGGGACTTTTTGAATTTGACTCGCGGGAAGAATCTCACATCCCACCAACAATGCCCGAACCCACGCCGAATGGACTCACCGGACAAGGGGGTAAACCGAGATCTCGGGATACTCTAATTTGATCAACACGAGCGGATCTTTGATTTGGTGGGATCTGTGGGAACCTGCAACTCTGAGTCAACAACGTTGCCTAGTGTGCGCCCTGTTGATGGCATCGGGAATTTAGAATCGAATGGAAGGCGGACAAGGCCAACGGAACCGTGCTGTGCGAGAACCAATTGGAATCAGAAACCGTGGCATCTTCTGAACAACAGTTGTCCACTGCAAAGCTCGCCGATCGAGCTGACTTTTAAAAACTACGTACTAAGGTCACCATCGTGTCCCAATCGGCACGGACTTTATCAACAAAAAGTATAGATCGCACAATCTCTCCATCGCACCCCTTGCAGATACCCGGTAGCGCACCCTGGTATGGGGGCTTTATTTTGATCAAACCCTCAACAGTTCCTGCCATCGTACCTCGAAACAACGCTATTAGATGGCCAGTGTCATGTTCTTACATGGCTCTAGTGTAGCCGCAAATCTGATGCTTCTACCTGTTTGAAATATATTAGTTTCAAGATGTCAATGTTCAGGTCACCCGCAGATTTCTCTTCCGACTCCGAGTCTGGGGAATCTGGTATGGATAGGAATCTGAGCGAACAAGAAGATGCTCCATCAAACAGATCTACTGCCAAGAAGCCTAAGGCTACCGGAACGGGAACGAAGTCGCCTCCCCTTTTGGAAGGGAGCAGCTATGAAAGCCTCGATGGTGAGGCGAATGAAAACAATGAAATTGATGTCGACACCGAAGTCCATTCTAATATGATGACGGCCGCACTCCTTGAATTCTATTGTCTAAGCCGGGCTGCGGATATTCTCAATGCACAAGAAGGCTCACACAAGCGATACACACGTGACTCGCCAGAAGTCCAGTACCTTGGAAGAAAAATGTATAATTATAAGTCTCGATTTCTCTCCTCCCATGGGGTCATAGCCGGGGGAATCGACAAGGATGAGCTACGGACAACAAGGCAGTATTATCGGGACAACCTTGATGTTCTTGGCATGTCGGCCCTGGAGGATCTCGACATAGACGATACTCAGCGGCGTGTACCACCACGCAGAACAACTGGAGATATTGTCTTAGCGTCGAAGACCTCAAATAATGCGCAACTTAACTCAGACCAAGGGTATGCAGGGCCTGCAAAACGTGGACTATACAGACCCTCGCTTGCAGACATCGGGAAACGACTCCCCAGTGCCGAGAATATCAGGGCTTTAGAGAATGTCCATCTTGACGTAGGGAGCCTACCGAGCCAATCGTTACACCTCGCAGGAAGCTCACCGGCAAGCTTCCCATTGTTTGAAACCAACCTACCGACACCACATAATCACTTATCACGTTATGCGACGGAGTTCGCCGAAGTTAAAGTCCTCGGCCGTGGATCGTTTGGAGAGGTGTATCATGTGAAAAACCATATCGACGGACAGCCATATGCGGTAAAGAAGATTCCTATCAGTCAGCGACGGCTTGAGCAACTACAAGATGGAAACGAGAACCAGCTGGAAAATATCATGAAGGAGATAAGAACCTTGGCTCGGCTTGAGCACACAAATGTCGTCCGCTACTACGGGGCGTGGGTAGAACAAGCGCATGTATCGGGTTATGTACGAACCGGACACGAAGTCCCTGTTGGGGTTGAGAGTGAAAACACCCAAAGCGCTCTGGCCGGACCCGAACCAAACGATAGCGAGAGCTTCGGAGTCGTGTTCGAATATTCCCAGGCTTCGGCTGGGGGCATTGAAGACGACGAGGATACCGAATCAATTCCTCGTGATCTTGACGCTTTTACCGACAGCCAGGTATCTACTTTTGGAGGGACAGATGACGATATTTTCACGGATGGGTTGAGCTACGACCCATCCAAGCTGCAGATACAACGACGAACTCGAGGCGGGCCTCAAGTTCCTGCAGTGGTTTTGCATATTCAGATGTCGCTGCATCCCATTTCACTCAGCTCGTATTTGAACTCGCAACCATGTGAGGTTGGAGATAGCCAAATCCCGCGCCGACATTGTTACCACTTGGCCCCGTCTTTGAGACTCATGCTACGTATAATCTCTGGAGTCGAATATCTGCACTCTAAGGGCATAGTACATCGGGACCTCAAGCCTGCTAACATATTTCTGTCGTGTCCTGACCATCAAGACTCTGAAGGATGCTCTCCTTGTCAGTCAGATAACGAATATTCTTCATGGTACTCCCACCCTCGAATCGGTGATTTCGGTCTAGTTGCCGATATCTCCCATTTCAATGAGAATCAGTCGGACAGTACCTCTTTGCAGCAGAGTACGAAGGTGAATCGTGTTGTTGGGACAGAGTTTTATCGCCCACCTTTGATTCATCCCGCCGTAGATAACCCCGAGAACCCCGAAGAAACATGCGACTTTTACAAGGTTGACGAGTCCCTGGATGTCTTTGCGCTTGGAGTGATCCTTTTCGAGCTTCTGTATCGCTTAAACACTAAGATGGAACGCCAATTCGTTCTCGGTGAATTGACGCGCTGTCAACAGAATCAGTTAACAGGATCCGCCTTGGGACACGCGTCATTCCCTTGTGACTTTGCACAGAAGATCGATTTGGGAGAGGAGAAATTTAATGGGGAAGTGTCTATCGCAGAGGAATTAATGACCTGCATCAGTGGGATGCTGGAACCCTTGCCTCAGAAGCGTTGGAGCTTATCCGATGTCAAGAAGCATTTGCGAACTATCCTGACCGCCGCTCAGGGGGCATCATATCCCTAATTGGGCGTGCCAAATGCCATAGCGATGCCAGCAGTAGCACATTCACACACACACACACACATATTCCATCATTACATCACTACATCATTGTACATGCGTTTCGTTCAAGCGCCGAGAACAAGAAGTATATCCCAGACTTCAACAACCAAGTCGAAGATATGTGGCGAATAATCCTGTGAAATAAGCATATACTATTACAATTTAAATACCATTCCTCTCATTTGCAAACTGTTGTATGTTTTACTATTTCTGATTTTGTCCCAATGACCGTCGGATACCTAGCTAAGTGATTGATCCCGGAGCGTGGCGTAAGTTCGAAGTGCGTGTGCCGAACGCCGCCAGAGTAGTAATATTAAGCAGAGTAATTTCCCAAAGAGGTCCCGTGCATGTAACATGGCAAGGTATATCATTCAACCTCCTTTCCAGATGGAATACAGTTTATTGATCATTATGAGCGTTCATGGAGCAGCTGGTAAACGCCCGGTGTCTCCTGATTTTACTCTTGTTTCTCATCCTGTGCCGCCAATACAGTCTTCCTGTAGAAGTCTTTCGGTCCAGGAGCAGCACCTGATTCAACCACAACCATTCAAGAGAGAAAAAAAAAAAAAAAAAGGCCAAACCAAATCCTATTACCTACCATGGTAAAGAGATAGTCTATCCTAATATATATGAGTCTCAATCTTTCATTTCAACCAACCCAGCAGCTTCTTGAAGTAGAGAGCCAGGAGGCCTGCTCGCAATGTGGCCTGTTTTGTTGTGGACGAGACTGATATCTCTTAAGTTGGCTGAACTAGAGTCCAGAAGATCTAACATAGGACTTTTATAGTATTACAAACGAAAAAGCTTCGATTAGTAGATGGCATGTGGCGCCGACCTCAATTTAGCGATAGACAATATCGAGGTATTCGATATTGCCCTATTAACTCTCTGGGTCGCATCCATCAATGTATCACGTTCGATACGATAACCTTAAAGAAATGGGTTAAATGCTTGATGAGTTTCCGTGCATGTATCTCAGCAGTGGAAATTGGAAAGGCATGTGGAACGTCCGCGGTCCTCGGTCAAGACGTTTCAAGAAAGTTCACTTCCCCGCATAACCCCGGATAAGATAAAGAGACCCTGATCTACAACTACGACTAAGGGCACCATGTCCGAACTCTGAGTGCCGTTAATTATTCTAATAAATCCATCTAGTAAAGTCGCAAAACCATGGCCCGCCAAGATCGCGCCCCAACGGCCCCATACAGTGAGCCTTTACTCCCCCAACTTGACGTCAAGAACCCATACTATACCGACCTCCACCACAGTCTTCGCGCATATGTTCGCAACTACGTAGAATCATCAATTGCCCCTTACGCCCACGAATGGGAAGCCGCAGGTCAAGTCCCTGAACCCGTCCGCCGGCGTCACTGTGAACTAGGGTTCGGAATCATTCATCCTCTAACAACCATCGAAGATGCCGCCGGGCTGTCCTTGCCCAACAACGTCCCGCGCGAGAAATGGGATACATGGTGCTCGCTCATTGTCGCCGATGAGCTTATCCGGACCGGATATGTAGGTGTGATTTGGGGGCTGGGGGGTGGGAATAATATCGGATGTCCGCCAATTGCACGGTTTGGTACATCGGAGCAGAGGCAGAGGTGGCTTCCGAGGGTCGCTAAGGGGGATATTCGGTTTTGTTTGGGGATTACGGAGCCTGATGGTTAGTGATATTGTCATCGGAGTCATGACTAATTTTTGTATACTGATGGTGTGTGATAGCTGGATCGGATGTGGCTAATATCTCGACGACGGCGAGGCGCGAAGGCGATTTCTATGTTGTTAATGGGGCGAAGAAATGGATTACCAATGGTATATGGGCTGACTATTGTACTGCTGCGGTGAGGACGGGGGGCCCCGGAAAGGGTGGTATTAGCTTGCTTGTGATTCCTCTGTCGGCTCCTGGAGTGACGCGAAGAAGGATGTATAACTCGGGTGTTCATGCCAGTGGT